CGACAGCAACACCAAAGTAATATACCAGAACAGTAACTACACGCATCTTAAAATTGCAGAAGCAGTCCTAATTGACATCAATAAAACAAAAATAAATATACAACAAAAAATGACAACCTCACTTCCAACCCGGCGCTTAACCAACAATGAAAACAAAGAAGTAATAAAAACTAGCATTGTAAATAGTGACAAATAAGAATATGATGCTATCGATGAAGAAAAGGAGACCAAAGAGGATGACCAGCCAATAAAGAAACCTGACACCTAATTTCCATCTAAGTTCATTTTCACAAAGTCAATTTCCATCTAAGTTCATTTTGACAAAGTTAATATTCCCTTATATAAACAGCAGAAAGCACTGATGATGATTCATTCGGAATCGAAATATGGCCTTATTTGCAGCATGAATTCGGAAAATAAATTTATTTTGAATTTTAATAAACTAAACGTTCACCAAAAAACTTTAGTGAGAAAAATCGAAAAAACGAACTACAAAGATATTAACGCCAAACATTCGGTAGAATTTATAGAATATTGTATATATATATATATATATATATATATATATATATATATATATATATATATATGCTGGTAAAAAACCATAATTAATGCAGTAATTTATGAAATCTACTAAATATTTTGATTAATACTGTCAGAAATGAAAATGATGAAAATCATGTTTTACGTTAATTTTATTGTTTTATTTTTCGATTTTACTAGTAGATCGTAAATCGTTGTCTAGTTTCTTGGTTTCAAAACCAAAATTTTTATTTATTTTTAGCATGACATATATGCATGTATGTGTGTGTGTGTGTGTGTGTGTGTGTGTGGTGTGTGTGAGTATATGCGTGTTGTGTGTGTGAGTATGTGCGTGCATGTATATGTGACATCTTTGGTAATATGCGTGTGTGTATGTTCGTGTTAAATTTAATGAAAAATTTTAATAGCTATGGTCTTTGAAGATTGTAAATGTGTCTTGCGATAATTTTTTGAGTTTGTTATAATGTTTGGTTAAATAAAAGTAGTGATAATGATTTGTATGATTTTTTTTATCGGTTAGTAACAAACACTGAATGTCATCATGTACATGTGTTATAAATTATTGAAAAGACACGGCATTAACGTTATTACTACTAAAATAATTTTATCTAATAAATGCATTATTTACAATAAAACCAAATTCCAAAAAAAAATTTTAAACTCGGGTAAAAACGAATTGGGCGATCCTTCCTTCATTCGGGAAAAAATATCATCTGATGAATGCTCCTGTTACTGTAACAACCACACTACGAACATTATGTGCCACTATGCCTTTTTATAGAATTTTCTTTATTCTATCAATGTCTGCATTATACAGAAAATGGCAATTGTGGCAAATGGCCGAAAAACTTTGTCTGACATGGCATAATAGAAAATTTAAATGATGCGAGCTCCTACAAAAAAACTCAATGCCGTAATTGGAAGTTAAATAGGAAAAATAAATAAGATAATAAAATAAGTTAATTAGCAATAAATAAAAACTGAAAATAAATGAGAACCCCATTAGTCTAAAACAAATTAATCATCCCTAAAAACTGAATTTACATGGCAAATTTCTTAAACTAAAATCAACCAAGTTTTAAATTAATTAACATCACTCGCATTCACCTTATCTTCTTAAAATCCACTCCAGATATCCACCGTCTTTTTAAAAAATAAGTATTATTAAATATTTTTTTGAATTTATGCGTTGATGGCTTGTATTGTTTTTTTTTATCCCGTACATTTACTAAAGTAGGAAACATGATGATTTATCTAAATTTCTCGAGAGGTTGTACACCATGATTAAATTTGATCTTAACCTTTTATACCTGAGAATTGGTAAATCAAGATGTTCCAAGCGCTCTTTATAATTCAAAGCACGACATTCCCTCATTATTTTTGTCCTCTTTCGCTGCCTTTGATATCCTCCATCCTTTCCCTTGACCATGGGAACCAAACACTAGCTGCCTGCTCAGTTTTCGATTTGACAATGGATTTATTTTTAGTGGGAACATGAGGGGAATATTATTGAAATTTAATCTGGCAAAAATTTAGACTTGAATAGTTATTACAGTTATTAGTTCGGAAGAGTAGTTCGCAATCAACTAATTCATTATCATCAGCAATTTATTTTAAATTCACACAATTAATATTACAAATATAAATACTTAAATTTGCTTTTTCACAGCTATGACTAAGAACCACACATTTATCGACATCCAACTTCTATTGTCACACATTAAACCATACATTCAGATCATCTAAAATTAGACTGAGTAATTTTTCTATCAACATCTGAAGTTCTGAACAAAAGATTTCAAAAAACCTCACATCACTGAATCTCTCTGTAGGTCTACGCCCATTTTATTATTACAAATTTGAAATATACCGTTTAAATAAATGATAAACAAAAAAAATTGATAATAACGACGACAACAACAACATTAATAATAATAATAATAATAATAATGTCATTTAAAAAGCGCCATAACAAGCGTCTTTGTTCTCATTGCACCAAGTATAGTAACGGTGATATAAAGCGTGGAAATAAGATTTAAATATTGAAATATTCATCTGCGTTTTCTTGTCAGTATATATTTATTCCGGGATGTTTAATAAACGCAAATTAAAATGATTTTAAAATTATTTGAATTTTTTAAAATAATGAATTTCAAAATTCATTTAAGATTTAATTAACAATAAATTTTGTTTTTTCAAAAATAGTTGAGAATATTCAAGCTCGCAAAATCCTGGCCGACATTAAATTTGTTGATTTTAATAATTGGAAAAACAGTTGGAGCTCTTGGAAATTTATGTTTGGTTCTGGCAATTATTATTTTTATTTTTGCAGTTATGGGCATGCAGGTTTAAATTTCTATTAAATACATGCAAAAGATTTCTCATAACCATAATTTTTTCAGCTTTTCAAAGCTTTTTATAAAAGTACAGAGCGATGGAACTTTTGTGACTTTTTACATTCCTTCATGATTGTATTTCGTGTGCTCTGCGGAGAATGGATCGAATCAATGTGGAATTGTATGATGTTAGTTGATGATTGTATGATGTTAGTTGATGATTGTATGATGTTAGTTCAATCAATCAATACATCAATCAATCTGTCAGTCATCAGTCAGTCAGTCAGTCAGTCAGTCAGTCAGTCAGTCAGTCAGTCAGTCAGTCAGTCAGTCAGTCAGTCAGTCAGTCAGTCAGTCAGTCATCAGTCAGTCAGTCAGTCAGTCAGTCAGTCAGTCAGTCAGTCAGTCAGTCAGTCAGTCAGTCAGTCAGTCAGTCAGTCAGTCAGTCAGTCAGTCAGTCAGTCAGTCAGTCAGTCAGTCAGTCAGTCAGTCAGTCAGTCAGTCAGTCAGTCAGTCAGTCAGTCAGTCAGTCAGTCAGTCAGTCAGTCAGTCAGTCAGTCAGTCAGTCAGTCAGTCAGTCAGTCAGTCAGTCAGTCAGTCAGTCAGTCAGTCAGTCAGTCAGTCAGTCAGTCAGTCAGTCAGTCAGTCAGTCAGTCAGTCAATCAATCAATCAATCAGTTTATGAAGCGCTATTTTTTCCATGTTCAACAGCGCTCCTCAATGAATTCGGCAAACAGATGGGTCGTGAGATCCGCTCTGAACTTCGTAAGTGATTGAGAAGTAGTCAGAGAAAAGGGCCAGAAAAAGCAAAAGCAGATTTAGCAAAAAAGTTTTTAACACGAGTAAGAAAGAAGTGAAAACAAAAAGACAATCGTTAGCCGGCGCGTTTAGGTTCAATTAAATATCTGATAAATGTGTTTAGGTTCAATTAATATATCTGAAAAATGTGCAAATCTAAAAAATTATTCTATATTTTATAGGTAACCAGTGCAAGAGAACAAGATATAAAGATATATGAAAAAAGAAATCGGCAGACAGCAGAGTTAAAAGCTTTACTTAAAAGATAGAGTGTAGAATCAGGAACACCATAGTAGAGCGAGTTACAATAGTCAATTCTAGATAAAACTAATGAAGTAACAAGATAAAAAGAAGTAGAAGAGTAGGATCGTCAAGAAAAGTAAAAAGTTATTTTATTCTACGTAGATGAAAATAAGAACTTCTAGCAACACTATTAATCTGAGAATAAAGAGACATGTTAGGTTCAAAGATAATGCCTAGATTACGAAACTTGTGAGAAACATCAAGAGTTTTAGAATTAGGTAAAATAATAGAAGGAATAGTAATAGCGTGTTTAGATTTATTAAAACAAATTAATTTAAATTTAGAAGGATTAATTTTAAAACACTTAGAGTCTGACCAAAACCAATTGAAGAAAGACATAAAGGTAGATTATAAAGAACACTATTGAGATTAGATGGAGGAAAAGAAGTATAAATATAAGAATCATCAGCATATAGTTGACTAAAGAAAAAAATTATTTATAATACGAGGTAGTTCAAAAGTATAGAGTACAAATAGAAGAAGGCTATGGATTGAACTCTGAGGTATCCAAAAAGAAAGAGTAAAGGAGTTACAAGTAGACTTATTGAGAACAACAGAAGAAAAACGATTACAGAGATAAAAAGAAAACCAAGATAGACAAGAATCAGTATTGTTAAAAGAAAGATCAAGCAGCCTCATGAGAATAGTATGATCAACAGTATCAAAAGTAGAGAAAAAGTCAAGAACAAATAGAAGAGTAAGATTACTATTATCAATAGAGAGAAGGATATCATTATTTCAGTAATGTGAGCAGGTTGAGATACAGATAGCAAGAAGTTAGAGTTTAAATAAAATGATAATTGATTATAAACTATTTTTTCTGTTATTTTAGAAATGAAAGTAATATTAGTAACAGGTCTATAATTAGATAAAAATAAAAGATCTAAAGAGGAGTTTTTAAGAAAAAGAGTAACGATAAATAGAATTCTTATAAGAAGTAGGAAATTTAGAGGTGGAAAGAGATAAATTAACTAATTTGAGAATGATAGGATAAAATATTTAAGAAAATTTTGTAAGTTTAGTAAAATTATGTGGATTAGAATGAGAATTAGATGTTCTTAAAAAATTAATCTTTAAATCTTTACTGTTGAGCAGAAAAAGATGAGTGAGAAAATTTTTTTAGAAAAAGTTTAAAAGAACAGACCATCTATTTTTAGATGTTGAAGTAGGTATTATAGTATATCTAAGAAAAGTAGAGTTTAGAAAAAAGTAGATATTTATAATTAATTCAGATTCATAGATAGATTAAAGAAAGCTAGATGGGTTTAACCCATAGGCTTTCTCCAGTCTTTTAAAACTTTTCTTAGCTAATACACAAGCATAGTCGAACTAAGGAACCTTAGTTGATTGTTGTATGATGTTAGTTGATAATTGTATGATGTTAGATCAAAATGGTTGTGTGATATTAGTTGATGATTTTTTTACCAAGTTGCTCATATTCTGTAAAAGAAGTAAATTAATCATATTTCAAAAGAATTCAAATGAAACTATTTTTCAATTAAACGAACCAATTCAACAGAGTTTTATGAATTAATATTAAATGACAATCTTTTATGTTGTCAAATTTAACATCAAATAAAATTAAAAATATGTTTAGTTTTAAACTTAAAATTAAAATTAATTAACGTGCTTTGATTTCAATTTATTACTAATTTATTTCCTTCCAGCCTACATATATATATTTGTATATATATATTTATATAAATACATATATATATATATATATATATATATATAGTATTGCATGAATTCTACCGAATTGTAGTATTAAAGTTTGCCTTTTCAATTTCCCTTACCAGAATTTTCTGAAAATTTTTCAATGCAAATAAGGCTTTATTTCGATTTTTTATAAATCATCTTCAGTGCAGGGGTTTCATCTGATTTTTTCTTGAGGTATGCTTTTGTTGATTTTCCTTATTATTGCGTTGAGTTTGTCTTTAGGTGAAGAGTTTGGTCTTTTGTGATTGCTTGAAATTTTGTGCTCAACGACAGCACAAAAATCCAGCTATTCCAAGGCGAACACTCACTTGGATATCTCTAAAAATTGCAGAAGCTGTCCTAATAGATATCAATAAACTTCAAATCAATATCCAACAAAGAATGATAACATCATTGCCAACTCGAACGCCTTTATATTGATTCAATAACAATGAAAAACAAAGGAATGACAACAACAAGGATGATTAATGCCAACAATTCGCTAGAATCATACAATACTGTATAAAATATGGTGTCTTTCCAATATATATATATATATATATATATATATATACATATATATATATATATATATATATATACATATATATATATATATATATTTATATGAATTTATAAATCTTAAATTAAATTTGCTTTTTCTTAATATTTCAGGTATACTGGATCCACATTTTGTATACCCTTTTTTCTGTTAACCATGATAATAGGCAATTTAGTGGTAAGCAATAATAAAGATTTTTTTTAATTTATAATGTATATTTATTATATATTTTCTAATAAATTTTAAATAATTTCATTAATTAATAACAACATTTTTATTGTTATGGTATAATATATTTTTAAAATATTTTAGTAAAGGTTTTGATAGATGTGTTGAGATAAGAAATTTATAACTTTTAGGTTCTAAATCTTTTTTTGGCTTTATTATTAAGTTCTTTTGGAACAGAAAGCTTAAAGCAAAACTTATCAATTTATGAAACTGCCAAAAAAACAAAATTACAAGAAGCCGTTGACAGAATTTTAAGATTTGCCCTTTTTCTGAAATACCGTTTGTATGACATATGTCCAGGTACTGAATAAGTCACCTCATTTAAAAATTCAGTTAATGATCAATAAAAATATTTTTTTAAACTTGCAGCTACAAAGAGTTTGAAAAATTTCTGTAAATTTTCTGGAAAAATTGAATCGTTGAAAAACAGACATGAATTAACAACTCAAGGCAAGTTCTTATATACCAATTTTAGAAAATTTTTACAAATGTTTCAGTAACTGTTTTAATGAATGTATCCAACAAAAATTGTGTCTAATTTTATTTTTGTTAAATATAAATATTTGAAATTCTCGTTATCCAAATTCATAGGATCGATTTTGACAGATCAAAATCCCGATTCGCATAATTAAATATCTTTCAAACCAAGTTCCATTTTTACTTGAAACACTAAGAATGATCAACAATATGGCGTTTTTTGATTCCACCCACGTCGGTTAATCACGTTACTAAAATATAGATATATTCTATTTGTTCTATTAGTTACAAACATGTGCTATAAAGTTATCCCGTGATTCAAAAGATAATAAAATTTTATTTTTCAGTTTGTGGTTTAAAATTATTTAATTAATCTAAGTTTGAAAAAAAACTTTTTTCTAACAATCATGAAATCGGTTTTTTCCAAATCTTCAGCGTTGGATTTGATAAATCCAAATCTCACCGGATCCCAAGATTCTGAATTTTTTGAGGGACCGAATATTTTTCATCCGACGAAAGGGTCTTCGGAAGTGTTATTGAAAACATGAAAAATTTTCGTTTTTCTAAAAATAATTTTTTTAAATTTTATCATCTTTTTGAATCACGAGCCAATTTTTTAACATGTGTTTGTATTTAATAGAACAAATAGAACATTTCTATTGTATTTTAAAACATATCTTTGTGCAGCGATACTCAGTCTTTTTTAATACTGATATTTATCGTCTATTATAACAGCACATATTTTATTGTATCATCATATATTATAAAGGATGCTAACAATAATGGAAATATTATGTTACCGTTTAGCACACTTTGAAACTGAAATCGAAAATAATATTATTGAGAAAAACAATTACATTGACTGATTTCTAGTGTCTTATTTAGCAATAGTATTTAAGTGAAATTATAAAGCGAAAATTACTATTTTTTGGAGAGTCGGAACCTGGAGTTGAAGATGGGAGTCTGAGAAGATGTCGAAAAATTTTTTATCAAGGAAACCTTTTATCCGACTCCGACCTTTCGTGTATTAACCTGGCTTTTGTTGTATTTGTTGTATCTGATAATCTATTTCAAACAATTTTAAAGCCACCGAGAACGACAAAATTTTAATTTTTAATTCTGAATTTTTACTTAGAAATTTTTTAGTTACAACTTCAAAATTTGTTCACCAACATCTAAAAGAACCTGGCTATTAAAAATAATGCACGATGGATCCGATAAACTCTTATTGAGCTATTCAATAGGAACTGACACCGTTCGACTGCAGTTTTACATCGAGAATCGATTAAACAACGTCAGTAGCGAGTTAGTTCAGTCGGTAAGAGTGCCCTGTCTCACGCTGCTATCACGCGATGGCATGGTTTGAATACTTACTCTCTGTCCGAAACTCAAAAATCATTACACGCATGTGGTGCTTGCGCGTACACATGTAATGTGTATGTGCGTCTTGTGGTGTGAAGGGTGTTGCCGCCTTTGTGGCTCAAAAGTTTAAAGTTTAATTACAAGTATAGAATATGCGTATGCGTTTGACAGAGCGGCGTTTTGGAGAATGAAAAAGTCGTCAACATTATTTTAAACTATATTTATTCAACTATATTTATATAAAAAATTATAATAGTATATAATAGTTTGCAGTATTTGAAATTGAATGATCATACCATTATACAGATTAGATTAACAGATACATATTTTTAAATAAAACTGTTTATCGGTAGTGATTTGTATCAACGTGATTAAAAATATATTGAAAGGATATTCAAAAACTTTTCCCCTAAATAATTTTTTAACACATCTACACCTGCCTGACCCAAACCAACCACTACATTCTTTCATGCGGTACAAATTTCAGAGGCAGTTCAATTGTTATCGTAAGGCCAAAAAAAGTCGTCTGAGTTTATAGTTTTTAAACTGATGATTATGTCTGGTACAAAAACGAATTTTGAAAAATTATTAAACTTTTACGTAAGAATCTGAGTGAACTGCAGAAACAAAGTTTAACTAAAAACTATTTAGAAATGAAAAGTAGGAGCTCATTTATTGAACAGCTGTCGTAAAAACGTGCTGTAAAATGTAACGTTTACATATTAACATCATGGTTTTATGATTTTTAAATAATTGTAGTGTTCTACTATGATTAATTTTTGGTTTTTTCAGAAAGTTTGAAAAAATGTTTTGTAGCATGTCGTTATATTGCGGTAAATAATTTTCATCAATTAAACAGATTGGTGGTTAACAATTTATTTATCATTCACATGCAACACAAATATGATCGTTTGGGGAAAACGTTATTTCTAAAGTTAATTGATTGTTTTCATAAATAACATGACGATGTACATCAACAAATTTAAAATTTTAAGTTAAATTTTAATTTTCAGATCAAAGATGTTTTTTTGGCGAAATAATTCCTCCATCAAATGACGCCCCACCGAATGTTGGTTTGGCAATTCGTACATTTTTAAAATTCAATTAACCATTTTAAATAAATTTAAGCTCTTTATATTCAAACATATTTATTTATCGAAGAGATATTTCTAATGACAAATGAGTAAAAAAATGTTTTAAGCGGAGGAAAGTTTTGTCTCCTAGTTTTGATATCATGTCATTGCGGTTTGTTGCAATTTTTGGCTATATGAAATTTTTTTTTTATTTTTACATAAAACCGAAAACTGACGTTAATTGGCAAAACAGAAAACATACAGTCTCTAATAAGAGTTAATAAGTAATGTTTAATTGATGTTCGATGTCCGATGCTCTTGATTCTTACATTTATACTTCATTTCCTCCATCTAATCTTCATAGTGTTCTTCATAATCTTCTCTATGTCTTTCTTCAAATGGTCTTGGTCTGACTCTATGTGTTTTAAAATTAATCCTTCTAAATTTGGGCAACAAAAAAAAATTATTTTTTTATCTTCAACTTTTTTAGTCAAATTATACTAACTTTGGGGTGAGAAAAACGAAATTGCAAACAAAAATTTTTTATTAGCTCTAGTTTCTGAGGTATACAACAACAAAAATTTTTTGTTTTCGTTAATTTATCTATTTTAATAATATTTAAAGTGCATTTAGTTTTTTTAATAAAGATTACATTCTAACAGTTGTAAACAATGAAAGCTAATAAATATAAAGATCATTATGGAATATCTTCACGCGATCGTGCTCTTTTTGCTTTCTGCCTGTATGCGAGCTCTGGAGCATCCCTACATATAAACCAACAGTAATTTGCAAGCATTCATTCCAACTACCCTGATATCTTTTTCCATTACAGAAATATCTTGGTGGAATCTTTCCCCATGTTCACACTAGCTCCACAACTAGGGGGAAAGAGGTCTAAATGTGAGTGGAGGAAGTGAATCTTCAAGGATATGTAACATCCAAGTTGATGGTATTTTTGTAGAAGTATGTAGTTACCATCTTTTTTGTTGCACAAAATTCACTCCCTTGAGAGATTCCCAAGTTTTTTTTTCTTGCCCCTTCAAAACATCATCAAATGCAAAATTTGTCATAAGTTTACGTAACTGTTGTACAATAAAAATACCCTCTTTTACTTTTGCATCACTTAGTTTTGGAAATTTGTTTCTTAAATACTTAAAAACCTGTCCTTCTTTGTTCATACTTTTAACAAAATATTTCATATATAAGGATGGAAGAAGTACATCTTTTGGATCTACGAGTGGTTCAGCAACAACATTTTTATCTTTGTTGAGATTTCTTGCAAGCCCATCCTTTTTTGTGCAATGTGAAATTTTGTCTCTACTGTTCTACATACACAAGAAGCAGCAGTATTTGGTATAGCCTAATTGCATTCCTAAAAGTATGGCAATGACTTTTTGGTTACCACAAATTTTCCATTTGTGTTCGTTGTAATTGATTGAGTTAAAAAAAGTTTTCATATTTAGATAAGTTTCTTTCATGTGAACTGCATGGCCAATAGGAACAGAAGGGAGATGATTTCCATTGTGCAGTAATACAGCTTTCAAGCTTAGCTTAGATGAATCTATGAGTAATCTCCATTCACTTGGATCATAGTTAAAATTGAAACAATACATTAACCCATAGATATCAACGCAAACAACAAAGTTATTTTTCTTCATAGAAGATTTTGTTGCCGTTTCCTGAAATAGGAAACTTTGACATCAGATTGATAAAGATTCCACTGTTTTAATCTAGACCTTAGAAGTTCTGCCTTTTTCTGTGTGGTGCATCATCTGTTGACACAAAATCAGAATCATTTGATCTGGAAGGCTGGCTTTCTTTTCCTTTTTCTATTTCATTTGTGCCTTCATTTTCTGCTTATAACTCATAACTCCGTGATGGAGTAAGAACTGGTAAACTGTCTGAATGTGGAATAGGTCGAATGGCTGATGGAAAATTCGGATAGTTAACAGTACCTAATTTCTTCATAGACAAACCTGCATTAACAGATGGGGTCAAGCAGAAATAGCAGTCATCTTTATGGTTTTTAGGTTTCCTCCATACAAATAGCAAAAGCCAATGATCTTTTTTTATTTATTTTTCACCCATTCTCGCAGTGTAACCGAACAAGTGTTACAGCATATATGTGGAGCCCATGATTTATCTGTCTCCTACCTTCATACCGAAGAATTGCTGGTAAGCAGTCTTCACAATAGATGTCTTAGTTTTTTTGTGATGAGAATGTTATTTCACCACAAATGTACAAAAATTGTCAACTGAATTTACACACTCCCTTGGCATGTTAATTTTTCAAATTTTACAACAATGAATGAAGAATAATCAAAAAGTATATCAGGTAAGAAAGTTTAGCAAACACACATGAATCATATCAAAAGTTTTAAACATGAATAAATATTATGGATAGCGAAAAGGCAAAATAAAAAAAAATAAAAAAAATTTCCAAAAAATAAAAATTTATACTCTTAAGGTTAGAGTTTAGCTTTTATCTCTTTTAAACTAGAACTAATATGTGATTTTTAATGTCATTTTTAGATTCAGCAAATGGAAATACATAAGAAATAACTAATTTTAGTTTGGATAAAAAAAATACTAACTCAACTAAATTATTTCCTAAATAATTATTAGATATATTAATTGAACCTAAACGCCAGAACCTAAACGGTTTACGATCGTCTTCTTGTTCTCACTTCTTTTTAACTCGTTTTAAACAATCATTAGCTAAATCTGCATTTACTTTATTGGCCTTTTTCTCTTCCTCCTTTTCTGACTACTTCTCCATCACTTACGTAGTTCAGAGCGGATCTCAAGACCCATCTGTTTACAAAATTCATTGAGGAGCGCTGTTGAACATCGCGGAGATAGCGCTTTAAAATCTAATCGATTTATTGATTGATTGATTAAATTTTCCACTTGACACATATTTTTAGTTTATACATTAGCTTACATATCTTTTATATTTAAAAATTTTTCTTTGCACTGAGAGATCTGAAAATGTGCCCAACCTCTGAGATTGATATCATCTGAAAATGAAATTGTTTATTTAATGAACATTTTCACCAAACGCGTAGAAGTAATTAAAAGTTGTAATAGGTTTAAGTTAATTAAGATTAATTAGAAGTGAATTTTTAAACAATTTAGCATCTCGAGACAAACGATGGACAATAATGCATGGTAACAATTAATTTCTGTTCAGCTTTAATTAACGACAAACTTAATAATTTGTAACAATTATTTTTAATCTATTTTATTAATATTATTATTATCATGGGCGGATCTAGGTAATTAATTTTGGGGGTGGCAAGCGAGGGGCAAAGGGTAGGGATTCAGATATGTTGAAATGTTTTGTGTTTAAAAGTACAAAACAAACAAATCAAAACTTTCAATTATTAAAAATTAAGTTTATTTAGGTATATCTTTGTTTTTACATGTACAAGTTTATTGAAATGAACTAGATTGTAATAAACTTCTTTTTGAATAGTCACATGTTTAAATGTATTATTATTTTATTTAAAAATGTCCACAATTTATATTAATAAATTAATTTTTCTGTTTTTATGACTAGTAGCAAAACCATCAATAATTTCCGTTTCATGCCACGATGTGGTCTTTTTCTTTCAGTTGCAAGAATTGGTACACTGCTTAATCTACTGTCAAGCATAGAGTTTCTTACGTATTTTTTTATTTGTCTTTATGCAGAAAAACATTTCTCTCATGCTGCTGCACTGACAGAAAGTGAAACGGAAATTTTGCATAATCAATAAAACTCATGAATCACTTGTTTGAATGGTTTTAAAAACATCACAAGTCATAGTAATGTTGTTGGCTTTGTATCATCCTGGGCGCGCCCGGTTTAACAAGAGTTATATCTGCAAAACTCTTGGACGACGGACTCAGTGCTTGCAAGCTTTTCATGACGCTACGCTGCTGCTCGCCAAAACGACGGTCAAACTCGGCAATGAGTTTATTCAAAACTGGATTAAAAGCTTGCTGTTTAAACGTACTCTTATTGTTAATTCGTGATCTTTTTCCAATCGTTTCTAGAATTATAGTATTTTCTAAACTTTGAGAAAATCGCCCTGATATTTGTGGATTTCTAGCAGGTGCTAAAGATTCTTTGTTAGCATTAAACAACGATACTGCATTTTTCTACATTAAATCAAACTTCTTTTATTTGTTCTCATATCACTGAAATCTTCCCGTACAGACTCAACCAGATCACAAGCTTTTAACAAGTCGATGTAAGTAGAATGCAACATAATTAATAATTACTGTGTTCAACCGAAAATATCACACATTAGTGCTAATATGTCAATAAACTGACTATCGATGTGAATCAAAAGAGAACTTTGCATTTTGGCCATCTGACAATTCATGCAGGAGCTGTATTATGGCAGTTAAATGATTTTTTACAACTTTACATGCATAATATTTACATGTCCAACGTGTGTCACTTAACTTTAGTAATTCTCTTGGTGACTTTCTTTTATATAAACTTTTCTGAATGTTAATCCATCTTTTATGATCAAATGAGCCTGATAAAAAACATAAAGCTTTTCCAACAAGGTAAAAAATTCATCAACAACTTGCACACTTTAAACAGCTTTCGTTTTTTATTTAAAACTTCGTCAGGAATAATATTTATGAAAAAAATACAAAAACAGCGCTTGAAAGAAAAAATCGGCAAGTAGGGCGACTGGTGTTTGAAAACGAAATTAAAATATAAATATTTTTATAAGTAACAAAATACGTTATGTTTATTGTTTAATTAATTTTAATGTTTAAGAATAGAAACAGAAAGAAAGATTGACCTGGCCAACCTAAAAAACTGATTTAGCGGCGGTTTAATTAATTAACTCTTCTTTTCGTTTTTTATTTCTCTCTTCAGTCGGCATTATTAGAATAATTTTGGATAATTACGGAAATGTATCAAGTGATTTAAAGATAAGTAAACAGTTTCCAGGGAACGGTTCAGAAGCAGGAAAGATGACAAAATAGCGATGTGCGAAAAAGTTATATTATAAAATCGTATTAAAATAACTAGATCGATCAACATTAATGCACACATTTTATACACATGTTTTGTTTTATCGTATTCAAAATATTTCGCGCAAATGCAATATCAAACTGAAATCCGATGATTTGGGACATGGAGGCATGTTAAAATGTTATTTTGCTGTGGGGGGGGGCAGGGGCATGGGGTGGCCCGCCCCCAGGCTTCTTCTGTAGATTCGCTCCTGTTTATTATTAATCGTGCTAATAATTTTTTATTAAAAGCTAAAGCAAGTGACAGACGTTGAATATGATGAAAGTTCTCTTCTCTCTATTTCACGTTCCTCATCATTCAACAGCGATTTAGTTTTTATGGATAATCCAAAATTGGAAGAAGTAGCAGTAGTCAGAGTAAATTTCCCTGATGATTGCTGTCCAAAAAAATTTATTTTTAAAAACGGTAATTAATAATTTCTCAATTTATTTAACGGCAAAACTTGTACTTCACTCCAAATAAATTTCTCTATAACATAACAATATGTCGGTATATTGTCACACGCATGCGTCTTTCAACACGTGTAAACATTTTACTTCAAAGAAATGAGTAAGAAAGCATTGAAACATTTAATGCTTATGTTTCAAAATTTGTATACAATGCATGTAACTTTTGTTGTTGTACCTATGTTGAGCGTTCTTCATTGGAATCTGCAGCAACTTAGCTATGCATTTCTTACGTATAAGTTTCCTCAAAATTTAGATGGACTTGTTTTCAAGGTAACTTTCAAATTTTAATTTAACAGATTTATGGGCAATTATGATGAGAAGCAAATATGGACGAAGGTGGTGGGCTTTCAGATGTTATTGCAAAAAATTAGTAGAAAACAAATTGTTTGAATCGTTCATAATTGTCATAATTATACTCAGCAGTTTATCATTGGTAAGTTATTTATTTAATTTTAATAACAGTTCACTCAATAAAATTATAAAAATTGTAAATAGAATCTTTTTTTCTTTTTATGCAATTTTGGATAAACATTTGCAACGTCTTTTTGAATTTTACATAAAAAAATTAGCTCATTTTTTTGCAATCTGTACAAAAGTGGCTGACAAAACGTTTTTTGGTTGTAAGAAATTCGATCACGTTTATCCGCTGTTTAAAACACTTTACTTCTTGCCAGCTGAAAAATTGTTTTATAATCGGTGTACCGGTGTGGTACGGTATCGAACACTACCTAACATGGTTTACAGCACGAAATAAAAGCAGCGAGTAAACAGATGTATTATATATTTTGTTATATCCGCTGGAATGGTCGAATTGCACTATATAATTAATTTCAATTGATTGTTATTATATTGGTTTTATAATTCCACGTTGTAATGCTGTAATGCGTTGTAATGTAACGCGCGATCGATCGTAAAGTTGTTATATATCAGCACGGCATGAGTTGTAAAAATAGTGAGGTTGGAGTCGTTGGATTATGGAGTAGCGCCGTGAATTATTGGCAATCGTGCAACATTCAACGTATTTCTGGGATTGGCGGATGATTTAGTGTTTCTATAATTGTTGGCATTCAAATAAACGTCAAGTCTGTGCTTAAAGCAGTTTATCTATCAGAAATCGAAGATTTTACGGTAGAACAAATAACTTGACGAACGTGTATGTTACAACACTGGTGTCGGAATCGAAAATTAGTGAGATTAAAACTTCTTATAATAAAGAATGCCAGCACTAGAAGAACTTGATACAATTAATAAGAAGAAAGAACTACGAAAACGAAACCTCGACTGAAAGGGAGTATTGATAAAAAGGATGCTCTGATGAGCGAAGGTAACGATACTGATGAGTTTGATTTTCCGGATCCCGTGATAGAAAAACTAATTACTATATACTAATTATTTTTTGAGTCAGCTATATAAGGATAAGTTTCAATTCTGCGCTACCTTTCCATCAGACTTTGACCAAGTTTAAATACATAGTTCATATTTGCCTAAAAAAGTAATCACTCATAAAAATTTTTCAATAAATTTTTAAAAGAAACATTGATTTATTTATTAATTTCAAGTTGAAAGATTTTTTAAAATTAAAAGCGTCCAATTAATGTTACAATTATGTTTCTGTTTGCAGGCTTTTGAAGATAAAAACATAATTTATCATCATCAAATGAAACTGGTCTTGGAACACTTGGATAAAATATTTACTATAGCATTCTCTCTTGAATTAGTACTAAAAATGATTGCACATGGTCCAATTCATTATTTCAAAGATGCCTGGTGTTGGCTTGATTTCATCATTGTTCTTGTTAGTTTACATTTATTTGAAAATCTTTCAAAGCTTCATTTTTTGATATAAAGGTGTGCGTTTATCTAAAATTCGACCACACATGAACCCGCTGAACTTCATCCAGGTCATTTGGTCCTGGCTACACTTGATACAGAGTATTGAAATTTGCATCAAAAAATTAAAATTTATTAAAATCAAAATGATCTCTATTTGAAAAATAATTAAGATCAGGTTAATAAAAATAACGTAAGACGTCATTAGTTGTAGACAATGACAAAAAACTGGAATTCGGGATTAAGTGTAGTCGGGACCAAGACCAAGTGACCGGAATCAAATGTAACGTGTTCAAGTGTAGGGAGATTAAGTGTAAGTCGGCCTTAAAGAACTCCATAGCATGACATTTGTTTAATCGTTAAAAAGTTTTTCTGCATTTTATATGCAAATTTTCATAATGATATTCTTTTTTACAACTTTGCACAAAATATATTTTTTCGTTAGTAAATGTCGATATCATTGCTTATCTGGACTTGCACTCAATCCTGCGTTAAAATTTTTTCATTTCATGGCTATAGGAGATTTTTATAAGATAGTTATTTTACGGTTTTTAGTTTTTGACGTAGATAAATAAGAAAATGTCTAATGTGCCGTTTCATTTCAAATTTCTAATGTCCAATGTGATTTTTTTGTAGAGGATTGTGGCACAAAAAAAAGCTATTTTTATGCTACGAATGATCAATGAATAAAGCGATTGAAATGAAGAAACATTTTCTCTCACATATAAATACCATCTGCACAGTTACAAAAATATAAACAACATTTTTCTAAGATATGACCGTAGGTGGCAAATTGATGAAGAATATGCATACAAAACGTAAATAGTCAAAGTAACGAAAAATGCCCATTAGGATAGTACGTTAGCACAAGGATTCATGGAGGTTTATAAGTACAAGCAAAAATTTTGAGATTTTTTTAAAATGATGCCAGATTATCGATGTTTTTAATGTTGAAGAGAATCACACTGTTCCATAATTTAGGGGCAGTATGAGATATACAATTGTTGCCCAAATTTAATCTAGATGTTTTTATATAGAAAGTATCATTTTGTCTTGTAATAATTGAATTATATGGATTTGAATGATGGAAGAATTCTGAATAGTATGGAGGTAAAAGATTTCTTAAGAATTTAAAAGTAAATAATGTTTGAAAATAGAAATTAATTTGATAAATTGAATAAATTTTAGTCTTAGCAAGAAGTTCTTTGGTATGATCGGTTTGTTTTAAATTAAATATAATCCTAATGAAGTGATCTAGTATGTTCATGTCTGGATATGAAGTCGAATAGATATGTTGGGGATTTTAATAAAAGGGTTTTGAAGGTAAGGACTGAAATTTTTAAGATGATTCGAGCGGAAATTGGAAGCCAATGAAGCATTGGAAAGAGAATGGAAGAACTAAAATGAGGAGGTTTATTAAATATAAGTCTAGCAGTTTTATTTTGGATAGTCTGTAGTTTTCTGACAGATGCACGTGAGGCCCCATACAATAAGGAGTTGCAGTAGTCTAATCTAGAAATGATCAAACATCTGCAAAGGGCAGCAGCAACATCACATGTAATCATATGTCTAATTTGTCTTATTGCGCAGAGGTGATAGTTGCAGGATCTGACGATTTTTGATATGTGTTTATTAAAATTTAGATGTCTGTCAAATTTGCTAACGAAATTAAATTTATGTTTCAATTTATTTAAAATACCTAAAAAACTGTGAATTTTTGATATATCCTACACCTAAAAATTTTATTGTGCTACATTTTCTAAGAATATTATTATTTAACTTAAAAGATAAGTCTTGAATATTATTGGTAAGTATTGTAGGACCAAAAATTGTATAGCATGATTTATCAGTGTTGATGATTAGCTTGTTGGCCGAAAACCAAGCCTCGATTCTCTTGTGATCGATATTAATTAGCGATAAATCATCAATTAGTGATTTCGAACTGTAGAAAATATTAGTGTCGTCAGCGAACATAATACATTTAAATTGTGAAGTCACGTTAGGGAAATTGTTGATGAAAATTGTGAAAAGAAGAGGGCCCAAAATTGAACCCTGGGAGACACCATATTTAACATGCAAAATATTAGAACTTTTGCATTCTATCGACACAAATTGTTTTCTGTTAGACAGGTAACTAGTGAACCAAGAAAGGATTTTACCACGAAATCCATAGAGTTCGAGTTTGTGTAAAAGTAAATTGGGATCAATAATATCAAAAGCTTTCGTTAGGTCTATAAAAATCCCATGTGTAGGATGTTTATCATTTAAGTTATTAATAATTCTATGATATAGTTCTAAAATAGCTAACTCCGTTGAGTGCTTTGGTCTAAATCCATATTGGTTATTAGACAATAATTTATATTTATCAATAAATGATTTCATTTTGTTGGCAACTAATTTTTCAAGTACTTTTGACAAATGGGAAAGCAAAGAAATAGGTCTATAGTTACCAGGATCCTCTCTGTTGCCTTTCTTAAAAATAGGTAAAACTTTCGCCATTTTGAACGCATCTGGAAATTTCCCGCTCTACAAGGATAAGTTACAGATGTGCACAAAGAGGAAAACAAATAGCTTTATCATAAACATATTAAGACCATCATATGAACAAGATTTGTTTGGCCTTTTATTTATTGATTATGTGGACAATCTCCGACGGTTATATATATATATAATATATATATATATATATATATATATATATAATTATTGATGTTTGTAAGCGTCTTTTTAAAAGATCACTGAGGTGCTAATGATTATTGCAGTACATTGCGTAGCACTTTACTAAGGCAATGCAATTAGTTGAGAAAAAAATTAGCACGAGTAAGCTTGGACAAAAAGATTGTGTTCAACCTTATACGAAATTGAATAACAGACAACGCAGGATCACGAAGTTTCCTAGGCAAACCATTTCAGACAGCAAGACCCATTACAGATGAATTTTTTCGACCAAAAGCTAAGTTTGTGTCAGGTACACAGTAAACCTGGAACGTCAGAGCTCAATGTTTGACTCAGCAGTGGCATTGTTTTAGGAATAACTCTGTCAGTTAAATTTAAGGGCAACTTCCTTATTACATTTAAAAGCCGTTAAACATATCTTGAAAACCTTGAAAACTTGATAAACCGGAAACCAGTGATGAGCTAAAAGAATTGGCTTAACGTGGTTGTATTTAAGGCTACCTGAAACCAACCTTGCAGCTCAATTTTGAACCGACTGCAGTCTAGCCATATTCACACCAAACAGTCCGTAATATAGTCTATTGCAGTAGTCTATTTTTGGGTGGATAAAGGAAAGAACAAGACGTTGAAGAGCATGCTTGTTTAAAGATTGTTTGATGAGCCTAAGCCTACGCAATTGTCCAGAGCATTTTTTCGAAATTACCATAGTATGCACGTATAAACGTTAAAAAACATGTTATTATCAAAAAACAAATCCTAAGTGCATATGTCAGAATCAACAAGTCTGATAGACTCAATGTTCATTTTTACTCAATGTTCAACCAGCACTAGTCATCAATTCGAATATATATATTTATTTATTTATATATATTATATATATATATTTATTTATATTATATATATATATATGCAGTAATTTATAAAATCTACAAAATTTCTAGCGTTGGAAAGTTTTTTATTACATTTCTTTTTCAATATTTCGAACCAAATTCTTGTCGTCATTATTTATTTCATTAATGTTAGAATAATATACAGTTTTCCAATTCATTCTTGAGTGTATAGGACCTATTTCGATTTTTCTATCACCTTCAGCACTTGTGGCAGCTTATATAGAAAATTTGTATAACCCAGTACTTTTTGCAGTATATATAAGGAATTTTGATAACCCAGGCCTTCGTTCCTGTGATTTGCATTTATTGTTATTAATAACTTTGTTAATTTTACTTTCTTTATTAATTGATATGATTTTTTTGTGCAAGCTAATTATGTTTATGTTATGTTTTTTGCTTTGGTGTTGTGTTTTATTGCTTACAAATTATATCAATTTTTATTTCATTTTTTAGTGCAGTGGAGGCGCGGGGTAATGGAGAAGCAGTTAAACGCTCAGCATTGCTTTAATCAATTTAGAAAGCAAAAGTCTTACACTTAGTCATACATTTTATTTGCTTTTATTCAAATTGGCGATTGATGACTAACCATATAATATATTTGCTTTTTTGGCAAAGATGACATATATTCTTGACACAACCTTGTTAATACAATTAAAATCAAAAATTACAGCTAGACATCGCAACGACCACATTCAAAAAATGTCACTCGGTTGCCAAATTTGAAAAATAAATAATTAAAAACTGTTCAATCCTTAAATACTTTTTAAATGAAGTTTTTTTTACAAAAATATTTTTGGGTTAGAAATAATTTTTATTCTTTTCTTTTTTAGATATCATTCGTAGGAACGATAGCGGAGAAGTATGTTTTAAATAATATGACAGCTTTCAGAGCTCTTAGAACTTTCAGAGCATTGAGACCGTTAAAAGCGGTATCAAGATGGGAAGGAATGAAAGTTAACTTTTTTTTATCATTTTAATTGTTAAAACTTGATGATTAGTAAAATTTATACATCTGAAATTGTGTTTACAGGTAGTTGTGAATGCATTGTTCCAAGCAATACCAGCTATTTTCAACGTGCTACTAGTTTGTTTAGTTTTTTGGCTTATATTTGGAATAATGGGAGTGACGCTTTTTGCTGGCAAGTTTGATTATTGTAGAGATAATAACGAAACCAGAATTATAAACAACTCAAACATAACAAATAAAAACGATTGCTTAACATATGGATATGAATGGTACAAACCAAAAGTGAACTTCGATAACGTTGCAGCGGCGTACCTGGCTTTATTCCAAGTGGTATGTCTTTTTTCTAACATTAAATTGTTTGTTTTTTCTAATTTAAAGGCTTTGAAGCTCCCATAATAGTGCTATGATGTGCCTTATCGAGATTAGCTTATTCTGTATATTTAAAATTATTGTCAGTTAATCAATACTCGTTATTATTTTCTTATTTTCAATCATTTATCAATTTGTTAGTCCATTTATCCTCTGAGGATTCTTTTTATTGTGACTACTATTGATTTTCTTTGGCGACTGAGCTTTCATTATGGGGTTCACCCACAATAGACACTCGACACGAATGAGAATTCTTCATTTTGATAACCACTCTTTCCCTTTGGCTAGGGTTTGACTAATCAATTCTCATGTTAGATGCGCAGGTTGCAAACTGTCCATCAATGAAACCAAACAACGCCTTCACACTCCCGCCAACGAGAACAATGTTGATCTATAAAGTGTCATATTTTTTAAAGTCATATACTTATGACTTCCTGCATCAATGCGACGACGAAGCTCGTCCGGACTATCTCCTCCCAATGGTGTGACTCCAAAACCTTATTTAACAAGTGTAACTTTCATGTCGCATTATTAATTTCAAACTCATTTCATAATATTTAATCGCATCGTAAATTTTTATTTCCCTGAGAAATTCTATCAGTTTAATTATGTTTAATTATTCTTAAGTTTTGAAATTTTCCGAAATGTTTTTAAGAATTGAATTCCTTGGGTTTTTTGTATTGTTGCATTGTTAATTTGTGTTTGCACTATTGACATATTGGTGGTGCGGAACCTTGTATGTCCAATCATTATTCTATTAGTTTTAGACGCTGTGAATCAAGTGTTAAAATTTTTGAATCTTCTTTGATTAACTAATGGGATTATTGGCCTCAACTGTGTTTTGGATTTGTCCCACTCAGTCTGCCATAATGTACAAATGTATTTAGTACAAATGTATTTTGACTTCTGAAAAAAGCATTTCAGATTCTACAATTGGTTTTTGGTGGGCTAACAATGCCAGATTGTCTGCTTTTTTATTGCCTGCAATGCCTATGTGGCTTGGCACCCACATTATTTTTAATTTGGCATTTGTTTTGAGCGATATTATGAACTTTAAGTTTGATTATATTAACTAGAATATTTTTAATTTTATATTGATCCAAAGCTTTAACAATGAATCTGTTATAATTATAACAATTTTATTAGTTTCATATTTTATTTGATCTAAGGCCATATTGATAGCTTGGAGTTCAGCAGTGTTTTCTGAGAAATGAATGCTTGTTTCAGTTTCTCAAATTATCACAGCTGCTGTTGTAGATTCATTTATTTTAGATCCACCTGTATATATTATGGTACTATTTACATTATGATGAAGAAATTCCTTAACTATGGATTGTGTAATATGTTGTTCTTCTAATTTTTAAATTTTTTTTTATCTGTTTTTATCTCAAGGGAAGATCATTTTAGGATTTTTCATGATATCATAGTGCCCAGTCTTTTTAATGTTTTTCTGTTTGTAAATAAAATGGATTTATTATTTTATGTTTTTTATTTAATTTTTTGTGCTGTTTAGATGTAATGTATTTGTATGAAGGGTTTTCAGTATTTAATATTGTCTTGTAATAATAATTAAGTGATAGTTTAACGTTTCTAAGATGTAACGGTATTTCATTAGCCAGTATATGCAGGCTCATTGGTAGCGAGGTTCTATAATCACCCAAGCATAGTCTTAGGGACTCATTACAATTGGCATTAGTGTCTTTAAATAAGATTTTCTGGTTGATCTGTAAATTTGAAATGCATAATCTATTATTGATCTGACCTTAGCCCTATATACAATCAGTAACTTTTTGCTATGTGCACCCCATTTATAATGAGAAAATATTCTGAGCATGTTTAAGGATTTGGGGCAATTTTAACAAACTGTATATGCGGTAAAAAGTTAAGCTTACGATCAAAGATTAAGCCCAAAACTTAATATTGTTTTCAAATTTTATGAGTGACCTATCTAATAGCAATTTTGGGGTCTTTGTTTTCTTTTTTTTGCAAACAAGATTGCTGATGTCTTTGATTTTGAAAACGTTATTCCGTTATTTATTGACCAGAGATATATTTGTTTTAGCAAATTATTTAGCCTATTCTCAATATTTTCAATACTTTTATGTTTATATGCTATTATGAAGTCATCAATATATAAGCATTGGTTGGAGCATATCTTGTATTATATTACATATATTGTTGATTTTAATACAAAAGAGTGCTACTGATAGAATACTGTCCTGTGGGATTCCCATGTCTATTTTTTTGTTTTCAGAAAAAGTATTATTATATCTTACTTCCATCTCTTATATCTATAGTTGAAGAAATTAGAAATAAACACAGGGAGTCGACCCCTCAAGACCGCCCTATATAAATCCCTAAGTATGCCATATTTCCATGTTTTATCATAGGCCTTTTCAACATCAAAGAAAATGGCCACTACTTATTCATTACATATGAATGCCTCTTTTACAAACGTTTCTAAGGCGATTTAGTGGTCTATTGCACTGCAATTTTTTTTATCTCCGACTTGAAATTGGGATATTGTTTCCAAATAATATATATTGTCTGTTGTTAACAATTTTTTCAAATATTTTACATAAAGTATTTTTTGAAGATATTGGCCTATAACTTAATGGATCATTTTTTGGCTTACCTGGTTTCAAAATGGGGATAACAGTAGCTTCAAGTCATTTTTTTGGGACATATGAGCCAGTCCATATAAGATTGAATGCACTTAAAATAGAAGTTATTGATGATTGTGGTAATTGCCTTAACATGTATGTAATCTGGTCAGGCCCAGGAGCAGAATTATTACTGGTCTCGATAGCATGCATTACTTCAGACAATGATATTATATCATTATATGGCTCATCATTATCTGAATTGAAGTTCAAGATATTTCCTTCCTCTGAATTCATGATCATCTCAAATGCTTTATTTATATTAACTTTAGATGAGTTATCAACAATTTCTTCATTTGATTGATGAGCAATATTATTTATGGTAATATAATTTGAGTTGTTATCAATATTTTTATTATTTATTTTGTTTACTATTGATCATATTTGTTTTGAAGTAGTATTAGCTGTTATTGAACTAACATATTTATGCCAACAATTAACTTTCTCCTGTCTAAATGTTCTTCTGGCTTTCGCCTGGAAACAGTGCCATAACTTCTTTTGCAGATGTTGAAGTACCTGGCACACGTCCCAAAGGCCGTACAAAGAAGTCCTGGTTGCAAACAATCGAGCAAGACATGAAAGCTCTAAATTTAAATAAAATGGATACAACTGATTGCCTAATTTGGCGCAAAAAATTGATGGCAAAGAAAACAACGTCCTACCTCGGGAAAACTGGGTCTCTGGACGCTAAACGATGATTGATTGATTCGGCATCGCTATCTCCATCACTATTGCCAGTAAATTCATAGTTTTAATTGTATATCATGAGTTTTAATTGTTTTAGCTGATATTTGGCCTACCGTTTCTTTGTTTATTGTAGTTTTATTTTTATCATTTTCTAAAGGTATGTTAATAAGGTTACATTGTATACTCTTATCAGCCGTAATTTTATTTCCATTTCTAAATATGTCAGAGTATGTTGGTTTGTTCCGGTGATCAATTAATATTTTTGTTTGTTTTTAAGTTATTTGATTTTCAAACTTTTTAGTTATGGTGCTTTTTTTCAATTTGTATTTAATGCATGATTTGTCAAAGGTTGCATGTTCCTGTTTGCAGTGAAAACATTTAGCTTTTTTCCCACACGGAGTTTTCCAACTATGCTTATGATCTATTTCACCACATTTGAAGCATATTATTTCTTTACTTTTACAGTATTTATGATAATGGCCATATTTTTGACATTTTGTGCACCTAATTGGTGGAGGTATGTATAGCTCTACTTTAACCTTTTGGTAGTAAAATTTAAGTTCTTTTGGCCACTGAGATTTTTCAAAAGTAATAATATAAGTGTTGGTATTAATTTTTGCTCATTTTTGGTTATTTTAATATTTTGCACATCAATGACACCAAAATCTTTAGCCCTTCTTTTAGCTCTTCTATTGAACTGTTTTTAAAGATAGGAGTTTTAACTACCCCTTTTACAGACTTGAAGAACTTGTGTGGGTAGCAATTGATTTTTATATTTAAAATAGAACTCATTCTCAACAGTTTATACTTCTGAAAATCATTTTTAATTTTTATAATTATCTTAATTCCAAAATTTTTATTATCTCAGCCTGGCCAACGCTACTTTGCAAGAATTTAAATATTTTAAAGAAAGATAAATTTTTATGTTCAGCCCAATTACATAAAACTTAGATTCATTTATCTCACTCTCCTCCTCGTTGAGGCTTAGGCAATTTACGTTGCGATTTTTGGCACCCCGATCATGAGTCGTCATTTTGAGTTTTTGCTATTACTGATTCTCCGACTCTTCCTCGCCTCCCGTTCGACTTCCACCTCGCTATCTAACTACCAGCCTCAGCTTAGCAGAGAAGCGAAAGCTTTTAGCAACAACCAACCGTTTACCTTTGAAAACAACAGAAAATATAATATATATGTAATAAATAAATTATACACTACAACACGCAACCTTCGTCAACGCAAGCATAACTATCAAGTCGCCACCCAATCTACATATCAGGAAAAGACCTTTATCACAAGACACCTCAATCATTTTATTGTTAATTTATTTTATTTCCTTTTATTTCTTTTATTATTATTACTCATTTTATTTTATTTTACTTTTCATGTTTAAACATTTTCCTTTCGTTTTCTTTTATTTATTTATTTACTTATTCGTTTAATTTTATACTACTGCCTTGCATGCTCTAACAGTTTCTGCGTCTGTCAGATCTTAATTTTTAAAGAATAATAAATAAAAATATATCCTTAGACAATTAACTGTAATTAACGAAGGAAATATTTAATTTACAACGCAAAATTAATTATCTACAACGATACGGAGAAAAACCATTTCAACTTTGTTTATAACAAAAACCATTTCAACTTTGTTTATAACACCGGAAATCGCAAAACACATTAGTTAAAATTGTCATCGTTAGAAAATAGTGTTTCAGCATTGTATCATAACACGTTAGTTACTGAAATGCGTATGCTTTTTTATCGTTTAAATTAGGTTTCTCTTTATTTACAGATGTAGAAACTTCGCATTTCCACAAGCTGCATGTGCATTTAATGTTATTAAATTTGATTTTCATTTTCACTTTTTAGTCTCGTATCCGACGTCGAGCGGGAGTAACAAATGATAGTTTTTTTTACTATCGATTTTATTCATTGGCTTGTACATTATATTATCTGTATGTACTTATATTATTTGTATATAACAAAACCCTAATACGTAAAACAGTGATGCAAAAATGTAACCTTAAGTTTATTATGATCGACAATTGTTTTTTTTTATAAAATTGTTGGATATTTCTTTTAAGTTTAGCATTTTGTTTGTTTTAGAAAAATATTTTCATTCTATAGAAACAGTTTTATACATAAAATTCCAAGAGACATGAAAAAAATTAGTTATATAGCGGTTTTTGTTATATATAAATTGGTTGTAAGGAGGTTTGACAGTATATGCCGATATTGTTCAAAATACAAGTATATACAAATTATATATATAGAATATACATATATAGGAAATCATCCATTTGTAACTGATCAGCCGATAATACATTGAAGTCGTAATAATTCAGAACTATAATTGTGAATAGCATAGATTAACAGGCGTTTAAATTTTAACTATTTATACGTTATGCAAAATAATAGACTGTAGTGGTTTTACAACAAATTAATATAACATATTTATAGAATATAAATTCTGAAATTATATTAACGTTAGTTAGAATGTCTGAAAACACAAAAAGAATTTCATAATACATTATAATAAAAAAATTGATAGCGTATTCTTCAAACAAATTTTTAAAAACCTAGCAATTGAATTAAATCTACATGGCCAAATATCACAAAATTATTAGGGCCCTCTCTTACAGTTTAGTTATTAATTTTATTGGTGTCGTTTACTTGCTCTTGAATAACACTTTAACCTATATTACTTCCTTCAGTTTCTTCATTGGTACCATTCTTCATTAGTATATTTTATTATTGTTTTTCCTGCCGGGAGTGTTGTTGCAATCTTTTGTTGTTTGTGTATTAGGAGTTGTTTTATGTCTTTGAAAATGACTTCGGCTAATTTCAGATAGGAATGACTGAAATTAGGGTATTTTATTTTGGTGTTGCTGTCCAGGATATTTCTTGTAGTTTCAATATCATGTGTGTGTGTTAAGTGTTTTTTTTCAGTCTGACCATGCGCAAAAGGTAAGTTTTTTTGCAAAAGAGATTTTAAAAATTATATATCTGAAAATTATTATACTTTTCAATATTTCTAGCATTATTTTTGTAATTATTATCCAATTTATTAAAATTAACTAGAAAATGGTTGGTGTTCATGGTGGAGCGTATATAGACCAAATTTCGATTTTACTCATCTTCAGCGCTTATATAGGAAAATTTCAAGATTTTAAATTTTTGTGTGTGTAAAGTTCTTTTATTCTACCTTGTCCTGTGCAAAGTGCTTTTTTCTGCTTTATCCTCTCCATTTATTATATCTTATTAATATCTTGGTTCTTTTCATTTATTATATCTTTGTTCTATTCATTATCTTTGTTTATAAAATTTTTCAATAAAATTCTTCTGGTCGGTAATGATGTGGCTACTCTTTGCTGCTTGTTCTGCTTGTTGATTTGCATTTTTTTTGGTCAAGGAAGATTGTTTCAGCAATTTTTGGATGGCTGTCGTTCTTGTTGTCTTTTTGCCGTAAATTATATTTGTATTGTTTACTAATATTTTTGTAATGGGTGTAACGGGTTTCGAGGCAGTGAGTGACGCCTCTCGTTTAAGTAACAAAAAAAACTTTATTATCAAAAACCAAAATATAACTCTACACAGTAAAATTAATCATTTTAAACAAATGTTAGTCAACTGTTATTCAACTTCAACAACGAAACCAACGCAAATCCAACTCTCCGACGTTAACAGCACGCTATCTCGACTTCCACGTTTTCACTAAAACTGCTCCAACCAACTCTCTCCTTTTCCGCTCACTTGTTTCTTGAATAGCCATTCGCATTTTTGAAGCGCATTCCGACCGGCTATTAATTATCTAACCTCAAACCCTGACAATTGGATCGTTTGATGTATCGTTTCCAGCTGAGTTCTAATGGTTCCTTCTCTTTTGTGCATAGTAAAGCGACGTGATAGCAACACTCATATAATGGAGTGACAACTACATCCCTATCACGTCGCCTTTCTATGCACAAAAGAGGAGCCATTAGAATCCCAAGACACCATCAATCATAAACTACAAACATTTTAGTAATAACAACAACAAACAAGGCGATAATATAATTTTCTTTTACAGAAATTGCCTGTCATTTGCATTTAAAACAGACGAATCTGTTCTAAAGAAATTCGTTTTAAAAAACTGAAGCCCAGAAATCTTAGAATTTATTATCAGAATGCAAAAACGGCAAACCTGATAATAAAAAATAATTGCACGCTTCTCCGAAATTCAACCCTGAAAAGAAATCACCTAATATCTGAGTTTAAATTCCTTCTTGACGGATGAACTCATCAGCCACACTCATATATTGGAGTGACAACTACACCCCTATCACGTCGTCTTACTATGCATAAAAGAGAAGGAGCTATTAGAACTCACCTGGAAACGGTACATCAAACGATCCCATCACGAAAAATATTATTAAACAATATTAGTATAATATACGGTAACAAAAACCACAGCTATCCAAGAATTGCTGAAGCGTTCTTCATTGACCAAAAACATGCAATTCAACAAGCAGCAAAGAATAGCAACATTATTACCGACTAGAAAAGTATTATTGAAAGACTTTACAAGCAAAGAGAATGAAAAAAATATAGATATGATAAATGGACAGGACCAAGATATAATAACGGACAGGACAAAGCAGAATAAAAAACTTTGCACACACAAAGAATTGTAAAATCTTGAAAGAATTCCTATTAAAGCGATGAAGGAGAGTAAAATCGAAATATGGCCTATATACGCTCCACCATGTAAACTAACAAATTTCTAATTAATTTTAATAAATTGGATAATAACTACAAAATTATTAATAGAAATATTGAAAAACTCAATCGTACAATTTCAAAAGCTTAAAATACGGTAGATTTTATTAATTATTGCATCAACTATGGTTTTCTTTCAGCCATATATATATATATATATATATATATATATATATATACATATACATATATGTATATATATATATATATATATTAGCCCATATTTAGGTTTATTAATATTTTTAGTAAGAAACTTAACACGATGAAGCGGTTTGAATTCATATTTTTATTAATTAGTGTTCTACTTAGACAAATAAAGCTGTTTCGGCGAAATTGCTATTTTCAGTTATCTTCATATTCAATGACATTTGTATAGATATATGTATGTATACATGTATGTATATATGTAGATACGTATTTATAGCTAAATTTCTTATATATCTATCTTATATTTAAATCTAGGCAACGTTTAAAGGTTGGATGGAAATTTTAGCCAATTCAGCAGATATCAAAGAAGTAAAGTTTTTTTAACTGCATTACCTTTTTTACATCTATTTGTTAAAACACCAATATTCACGACATTTCTCAATATTTTATGTGCATAATTTTTTCAGTAAATTCTGAAAATAGATTAATTATAAAATATTAATCCAATACTAAAGAAAATTCTCTAAATTTGAATAACTGGTATTCAAATACAAAAATTTTTCATGAAAACACCAGCAGGTTAAGACACGTGCAGAGAAATTTAACTTTTTTTCCCTTTAAGAAGCATTTATGCTGATTATTGCTTTCAGAAAATTGTAAAAAGAAATCAGGATATGAGATCTTTCAAACAGCTTCGATTCAATTGCGGCAACAACTTTTATGCCACATTGATAATTTGATAAAAAAAAGTAAAATTTGAATAAGCGTTTAACGCATAACTCAGACTTTTCTATAAATAAAAATTGGTAATCTTATTATCAAAATATATTGAAAATTTTGCTTGTTTCGATAAGTCTTTCTAACCTCCAAAATCGTCTTCTAATTAAGTCAGCTTTAATACGCTGATATGAGGAAAACAATGGCACTTGTTAAATTTTTATATATGGCCGTGGTTTGCTGAATAATATTATTTTCCAATAAAAAACGTTTTGCAGATAAAATTGTAAGCGAATATTTCTTTAAATTTATACAATTTAAATTTATGCAGAAAGACGACCAACCTGAATATGAAAGTCAACCTTATACATGTCTTTATTTCGTTGTGTTCATAATTTTTGGATCATTTTTCACATTAAATCTGTTTATTGGAGTCATCATCGATAACTTCAACGTTCAAAAAAGAAAAGTGTTTTTGATTTTTTTTTCACTTATTAACTATCTTTATAATTATTATAATTATCAATTATTGAATGCTAATATTTAAATTTACCTTAAAATATTGTGACATTTTGACAGGCAGGTGGATCTTTAGATATGTTCTTGACAGAAGATCAAAAAAGGTATTACAATGCCATGAAAAAACTTGGTTCAAAAAAACCTAGAAAACCGATTCCTAAACCAAAAGTTTGATTTTTTATGTTTCATTGTTAATTTCTGACACTATACTTTTATTGAATGCTCAAAATTCCGTTACTTTAAAAAAGCCGATCATTTGTTTTTAAAGGCGTCAGAACTAATTTTAGACCAAATAGATTTCTTTGTCTAATTTCTTAAAGTTAATACAATTAACTAAATGGTTCAAGCGGTTTGTGGGTTGTTCAGTGTGCAGCTTTTTGAAGGATTTGGGTTTGGCGGGTGAAAGACGATGTAGTTGCATGAAGAACATACAGCCGAACAAGCGTCTTACTGGATATGGTTATGTAGAAATAAAAAGGAATGCGAGTTTAAATAGCTAACAGACGATCTTGTGTGCACGTTAAAGCTTCCTATTATTCAACACTCCTAGATCCGGCTTAACGTGTTATTTGGCTCGTTGATATAACTCACATCATGATATGTTTATATGTGAATTTTCAGACACGCCTACACAATTTTTCAGTAGAAAAGGAAATTTCAAAGCAAAGCCAATTGTTTGTTCAGCAAGAGACATCTAACTAATTACTAGATGTGGCCCTGTTTCTCGAGAGTGTTTAAGTTGAAGTGCCGAAACATTCGTTGACGGAAACTTTCACTGAAAGCTCTCGCTGAACGTTTGTTATGCTCAAGTTTCTAAATACACATAAATACTTACGTACATTTATATGACGAAAAAAAGGAGAAATAAGATTAAATGAATAATCAAGAAACAAGTATAAATTCGTAAATATGTAAATAATGTATGAAAAGATTATATCAACCTATGTATTATCAAATTAGTAAATAAATAAAAGGGAAAAGAATCTTATCAACTTAGTTATATATAAACACTGTATAAATAATGATGCGTGCGTGTAATAAGTTAAATAGAAAGAACGTGTAATTTAATTAATGCATTAAAAGAATGGCTAAATGCTCATTATTATCAAATAGAAAAGTAATTGTAATAAATAATAATAATATATACATTTATGAAGCGCCCATTCGCACAGCTGCTTCAGAGGCGCCCGGAGCCCGTGTTAAAAAGATGAGTCTTTAATCCTTTTTTGAAAAGACTCAACGAGGAACATTGTCTTAACTCATTCCGGACATACGGAGCAGCGTGACGAAAACCGCGGCCAGCCAGGCGGGATCCGGCAACGGGAAGGTTTAAGAAATCTGTTGAGCTGCTGCGGAGTGATCTAGTATGTTCATGTCTGAATATGAGGTCGTATAGATATGTTGGGGATTTTAATAAAAGGATTTTGAAGGTAAGGACTGCAATTTTAAAGATGATTCGAGCGGAAATTGGAAGCCAATGGAGCATTGGAAAGAGAATGGAAGAACTAAAACGAGGAAGTTTATTAAATATAAGTCTAGCAGTTTTATTTTGGATAGTTTGTAGCTTTCTGACAGATGCACGTGAGACCTCATACAATAAGGAGTTGCAGTAGTCTAATCTAGAAAGGATCAAACATCTGCAAAGGGCAGCAGCAACATCACATGTAATCATATGTCTAATATGTCTTATTGCGCAGAGGTGATAGTTGAAGGATAGTTGTAGATGTAAGAGAAATTATCTCAGCTGTAGAGGACCTTGTTGGTCGGAAGGTGAATTGGTCCTGGTGATATGGTTTGACAGATGAATGATTGAGACTCGGATTGAGAATTTGCCAATATACTTGTCTAAGATGCGTGTAAGATTGGTGTAATGGATATTGTGCGATAGTCGATGGGTGAGGTTGGATGATTGATTTTAGGTATTGGGCAAATAGTGCTGTGTTGCCATTGGTTGGAAACGAGTAAATGGGTCAGGCAGATATTGTAGATGGTTGAGAGTGGATGACAAAAAAATGGAGCTATAAGTTTCAAGTACCAGGGTAGGAGGCCATCCGGATCAGTGCCTGATGGGCAAGCTTTTGTGAGAAAGTGTAGGATGGTTAGTAGATGAAAATGTTGAACTTGATGGCGAAAGGTTGTAAATTTCAGTGGAGGTTGTTGATATGATGAGTTTGTTGGCATGGTGGAGAAGTGGCTGTTGAGGGTTTCAGCATTGAAGGGATGCCTAAACGTTGTGCTTGCACTCCTGGTTCCGTTGACTAGCTTCCATATCTCCTTGCTACCACGCTTGACATTAGTGAACGTCTTAGAGTTGTGATTGATGATGGCGATTTTGATGCGATTGTTATGGCAGCTGCTAGTTCGATGTTACCTGATTTTATTTGATGAAAGGTGGTTTATATAGTTTAATGGTGATGCGTGAAAGTTGGTAGTAACGCTCGAATGTAGTTTGCATGATGCTCAGGAGTTTGTCAAATATAAATTAATGGCAGCTATTAAAATTATCATTATTCTTAGGATTAATATGAATGTTATAATTTTCATTATTACAGGGGTCAGAAATACTATAATTATTGTCATCAATACCCATATTAATATTATTACTATTATTATTGTTGTTGTTATTATTAACATCATTGTAGTCAACATTTAGATTCTCATTATTAAAGATGAGGTCAAAGTCAGTGATGACGTAAGTACTCAAAAAATGTACTTAAGTATAAGTACTAAGTACTCAGTAATAAAAGTACTTAAGTATAAGTACTAAGTATCAAAACAAATTGTATACTTGATACTTATAAGTACTAAATATAAGTACTAAGTACATAAGTACCTAAGTACATACCATGGTTAATTTGAAATATTTATAAATTTATTAAACTCAGAAATCAACTCATTATTTACAGTAATTTATTTACATCAATAAAAGAGTTTGTTCTTTTTGAGTAAAAGTAAAGTTTCAAATGATTTATCACTTAAACGATTTCTTTTAGGAGTGAGAATCATTCCAGCCTGGCTAAATATACGTTCCACAGGTGCTGATGATGGCACAGTGGCATTGTACTTCAAAAACACTTGTGCGACAGCAGGATACCTAAGGAACAATAATATAGTTGTTAACCGAAATAGCAAATTATTAATTTGTTATTAATACTTGAGAATAAAAATGTATTAGAAAATCAAGCATATACATATTATACATATATAATATATTACAGAAAAATATTGATTACCTTTTGAGTTGTTCCATATCATTATGAAGGATCACTAAGATATTGCAGTCCTTCAACTTTTTCATTCGATCGTGATTCGAAACTTGGTTCGTGGAAACAATAAAAATCTGCACTAGTACAACCTCTAGTATTTCTGTCTTCATAAACTGTTGAAGAATTGCTCATTCTGACCACTTCTGCTAGAAACAAGTCTTCAACTTGATGATTCTATCCACCTGATTTTAAAAAAACGGATGGCTGATCGAAGCCACAACAAATGCTCTCATCTTGCTGTTGCTTGAAATATCTTTAAAGTCAATTATATCGCCAAAGCGTTTATCCATGCCACATTGAAGAGCAGAAACAAGAGCTGAAGTGTACGATGGAGTAAAAGATTGCAGTTTTCGCTGTATAACAAATATAGTTGGTAAGACAGCACCAAAATAAGACTCCATTGAAACCTCACCTTGGAGCTTGTCCAATGCTAGTGAAATTGGTCTCATCAGTTCCAACCACTCATTAAGAAAACTCAAATCTATATTGCTGAACTTCGGCAGCTGCAAACGTTCCATCACAACATTTACTTTATCGCGAAGACTATATATAATGCTATAACAGTCAAATTCAGAATTCCAGCGTGTCCCATTCGGTTTGGGTATTGTTCTGCCTAAGATTTCATGCACAATTTCAGCAGCTTTTGAACTCTGGTGTGATGCGGTGCTGAGAGAGACACACTTACTGGATACTGATCTATATATTCTTTTGTAGTTTGAATCATTATTCAAAGCTTTACTTGCATCAGTTGTAGCAAGCAAGTTTAGAGTGTGTGAAAAGCAAGATACATGAGAAGAAGATAAATTCCGGAGCTGTCATCTATATTACTTACCAAAAACTTATCACCAATCTCAACTGGAGTCATTTCTGTATCATCATCATCATCAACATCTATGATATAGATATATAGATGTCAGAGTGATGTGAGTTAACCACCTTTTAATGACTCAATTAGCCAATGGTTATCTTAACATCCCGCTATCCATGACTAAACAAGAACAAATGTTGATAAGAGAGATAAACAAGAATGTCAATGTAAAAATGTGTGTGTGTGTTTTCATCACAGTTTTCAATTTTTAAATGTTGACATTATCTTATTTTTGCTTAAAATTTTTCTGGTACTTACAGGAAAAATTTATTACTTATAAGTACAAGTACTGAAAAATGTACTTAAGTATAAGTATTTAAGTACAGGTTTTCATATGTACTTAAGTATAAGTATCTAAGTACTACATTTGTACTTAAGTACGTACTTAAGTACAAATGTACTTAAGTACTCGTCATCACTGGTCAAAGTTAATTTGATGTAGGTGATTCAGACTAGCACGATGTTGATTTGGATGGTGACGTTGACCTCTTCCAAAATCAATCCATAATTCATTATTTGCAGATATTTTATTATGTGCATAAATACCAATAATCACAATGTTAGAATCGACATACGTATTAGAACATAAATTCAAGAATCAATAAGCCCATATCCAAAATATCAAAACATATATATGTATAAATATTTGATTAAACATCTATAAAATTGACTAATAAAAACAACAATCATACATTTAAATGATAAGCATGACAATTACAAAAAAACGGTAGTAGAATCATACAGAGCCAAAATCTTTTATTAAACATTTTTAAATGAGTAACACTTTCGGCTTCTACCACTTGGGTTGCAATCTTTTCCATATCTTCCCGATTCTAGATTTTTTAAAAGTTTTTTCTAATATTTTTGTTTGACGTCATCAAGTCGAATTTGAGATTGTGACCTCTTAATCTGTAGTCGCCAACCAATGTGGAATGAAAAGCATTCATGTTTTTGGTATGTTGTGAACGTATATGAGACCACTCTTTAGAACGTTTCTGAGTCGGGTATTGACTGCATGGTTGGCATATAACATCAGAAGTCCATCGGCCTCTTCGACATTGCATGGTGACAAAGGAAAATTATGTACAATAAGCAATTGCCACATCTTCAGGTGTCCAAATAATTACTTTGTTTTTTGTTGGTTTTGCTAATTGTTGCTTGTTTGAGTCAACTGCAAAAATCTTTTTGAACTATTTTGGAACTGTTGTACTCAAAGTGACATTTATACGTTGACCACCAGATCCTCGTGACTCTTAAGTTTCTGAATTCAAACTGGATGCTAAATTTCCGTCAAACACGACTTCAATCTGCTGTACTGATTGTAATGAACGATTTTTAAATGACCAGTTGATATCATTGCAATAATTGTTAAATGTATTTAAACACCATTACCGTTCCCTCAATAATTACGGTATCAGTTTTGATAGACAACTTGTGATATGTCATAAATGAATCTGTATGGATCATGTTTAACGCTTTTATTTGCTTGGTCATGACTTTGACTGGTGTTAACAAAAGTTACGTTAACATTGTTTGTGGTATTTTATTTTTAGACCAACAAAGTCCGTTGGTAAAATTTTAGAAATTAATTTGGTGTCAGACAGTTGGCAGTTGGATCATAGATTTTGGGTACAATTTTTTTCTTACTTGCACTTACTAGTTTAAGTTCTTCGTTTAACATATCACAAAACAATCAACTGCCTCGATATTTTCATGTGCTAAATAAGACCGCATATTCAAACTTGACTTGAAGAATTTTATCAGCTCATTTTTATTTAATCCATTTTTCATAAATAAAGTTAACTGGTTTTCGGACATCAAAGTGATCTTAACATATCGTATGCATATTATTTAAGGCATATTTGTATCAACATTTCTGCAACCCCTTCGCCATCATTCAACTGTTCAAAACGCACTGATTGGATGATAGTGGTAATGCTCATTGTTTTTTGGATTTGGCTAAATTGAGGGCAAGAAAATTATATCCTGCCACTGTTGGGGCAACCAATAAATTCGACGAAGCTCATGAATAGATAATTTTTTCTTTATCATCTTGGCCGCGCGCAAATAACATACTACCAAGTACCAAAAAAAAATGAAAATTGTGAAAATACAAATTGCGTCTGCCCTAAAAAATTAAAATTAATTTTTTAAAAATAACTTGTTTTGCTAGAAATAATAGATTTAAAATTGGATTCAATTATTTAATGTTTTTGAAAAAAAATTAATTTTTTAAAAATAACTTGTTTTGCTAGAAATAATAGATTTAAAATTGGATTCAATTATTTAATGTTTTTGAACTTGCAATTTGCAAACAGCATAAATGACATCATTTAAAAAGTTTTCATCCAAAAAATAACTTGGGATATTTATGTTCCTGCAATTGCCCTGCCCTGTTCGTCCTTGTATACATTTTATTGGAAACCAAAAGAGCGCTAACTTAACACATTCTTGTTTACTTGTTTATTATATTTAGATAATATATCATTATCATTATTTATTTTGTTTGTTCGATTGTTTATTTATTCAATTCTTTTTTCAAAATTCCTCAGAGGCATCAGTGAGAAAGACAGTGTACGATGTAACTGCACGTGAAAAAACGTGTCACACTTTTGTATGAGGCAGGCTGGAATTTTTTTTATATATTTGGACTTGCTCACAAGGCACCTTCCCCACCATCACCTTCACCATCATTACATACACCATTATTACCATCATCACCTTCATCCTTACCTACACCATCATCACCTACACCTTCATCACCCATACCATCATCACCTCCACCATCGAACCGCTTTTATGTATTGCATGTATTGTGCAAGAAACCATTTGTCAACCATGCAGAAAATGAGTAATGACTGGGATGGTTGCGGTGGTCCGCGTGGGATAGAAACGAAATAGAACGACGCAAACACTTAATTTAACACTTTTTATTTTATCTTTTTTTCTTTCTTTCTAACCTTAACCCTTTCAGGGCATTGACGACCATCAACCTCCACAAAAGGACATCACGAATGTTATTCATTGTTGAACCCGATCTTTTTTTCCCTGCAATCTTTCCAATAGTTGTTAGATTTTCCATTTTTTCTTCCGCATGATGTGACCAAAAAACTTTAACTGTTATTATCTGTAGTAATTTTCTTTTTTCATAACCTGACTGTTTTAATACATCTTCATTCGAAGCATGACAGGTCTTACTAATTTTCATAACTCTTCTCAAAAACAACGTCTCAGCTGCGTTTATCTTATTTTCCATTTCTTTAGGAATTGTCCATGCTTCAGAGCCGTAAGTTAGCACAGGAATAATGTAGCATTATAACAGTTATATTTTGATTTTACTATAGGTGAAGATGCTTTTCATTTTAGAGTACCTATGCATCTTTCGCCATAGCTATCTTTCTTTTGATATCCATATCACATTTGCAACCTGGGGTAATCAGACTTCCGAGATAATTGAAGCTGTTAACTTGTTTCACTTGTTTACCATTAATGATTATGGAGCAAATCAAGGCGGTTTTGTTTTACTGATAACCATGCACTCTGTTTTGTTGATGTTAATTTGCAAGCCTTTTTTTTACTTCAAAAACCAGTTTGGAATCAATTGTTTGCAGTTTTTCCCACTCTATAAAAGCTGTATCATCAGCATATCTTACATTGTTTATATTCATGTCTCCAATGGATATTTCAGGTAGATCCTCTATCTTTCTCATGATAATCTATCTATAGAGATTGTACATGTCTGGAGAGAATACACAGCTTTGCCTAACACCTTTCTTTATTTCAACAAAATTAGTCATCTTGTTACCAACTTTCATCGCTGTTCTATTCTATACCAGTTATAAAAATCTTGGTTCTATTTTGCAAATTTGAAAAATTTGTTAGAAATTATGATTAAATAATTTTTAACTATTTTTTGAAATAAAACGTCTACAAAATTATGTTAGTTGATTTAAAAACATTTCGGAGACTGTTGGGTCCATAAAAATAAAGAAATAGAATGGTATACAGTTAAAAGTAAATAAAAGTAAAAAACACAAAATTATGATTTATCATTTTAATGTAAAAAATATTTAAATTTAGTAGTAGGATTGTTCAATAAACGTAATATTCGTTTATATTTAATTAAAAACTAAATTTCAGATGAAATGTCAACTTTATTTTTTTAAACTTGTTTCAAATGACAAATTTGACATGGCTATCATGTTTGTTATTGTATTCAACATGCTTTGTATGGCGATTGAACACCACAACCAGCCAAAAGAGCTTGAAGATTTGTTGGATTATTTCAACCAGTTATTTGTGGCCATTTTCACCTTGGAGTTTCTGCTCAAATTAATAGCATTCAGAATTTATTATTTCAAACATCCGTGGAACGTGTTCGACTTTTCTGTTGTTATCGTATCCATATTAGGTAAGCATTAAAATTTGAACTAATATTTCTTTGTTGTTATTTACTTGATAATTCAAAATTTAGTGACGAAATGTTTTCATTTTTTGCACAGCCTAGAATATATTTGTAACGATCGTTTCAACCACACTATCTTAATTTTTACAAATGTTCATGCTATTTGTAAAATCGGTCAATTATTACTATATATCTTATGTAGTATCCTTCTAACAAAACAGAAAAAGATCATCAAATAAATTAAACTAAATTTTCAAATTTCACTTAGTTAAAAATTGTTATTTAATCAAGAATGCAAAATGTACTTGAATATCTTTTACACCAGTTACTTGATAATGCGGCAAATAAAAGCCGAACTTCCTTTTTAGCCCATGCGTGAAAATACGCGACATTTAAGAAGCGGAAGTGCGTTTTTAACGGAAATCAAATCTGCTGCTAGTAAACTGAATGCTTGAATAAATTGAATTTATATCAAATAAAAGACTGGTTCCAATTATTGAATAACCTATTCCTAGTCGAGGCCGACCAGAAATATAGTTCTAGGTCTCGATTTTGGCGAGTTTCAATAAAAAATCAAGCTCTGGTCAAATTTTAGATGAAAAATTTTAGCAATTCTATAAAACTATTTTTGTCACACCCAAAATTCTCATCTTAATACATTTTATTTTAATATGTTGAAAACAGACTAGTTATACATGTACATTCATAAGTAAATTAGCGATAAATTGTTTTTTTTTTGTTTTGTGCAGATTTCCGGCGTTTCAGCACAAATTGGCTATCTTTACGTTGTCTTCTCTTAATTTTTTTTGTTCTTAATATGGCTGTACCTGTTGTTTCATTCACAATCTGTCAATCAATTTTGTATTTATGATAAAAGCTATTAAACTGTATGTATTTGAATTATTGATAAAGATTTCTTCCATGTTTGTTGGTATATTATGTTCTATTCTTTGTTTGCTATAAATTGCAAGTCAACAATATAATGACGTTTTAGTAACAAAGAAGTAGAAAAAATTATGTCTCACATATACATTAAAAATACTAGTAGCAGTCAAATTTGAAAAAAAAATTCAAAAGAAAATTTTTATTGTCTTTATTGGATGCATTTTCATATCGAAGTGTCGTATTTAAATATTTTTGTGTTCTGCCACCTTTAACCAGAAGATCAGGGACTGTGACGTTTTACAATCATTTTACAGGAAGTTGGATCTTTAGTAAACCATAGAATTTTTGAAGAGTAATTTGCTAGTCTCTGCATTTATTCCACTTTTTGTTTCATGCGCCGAAAATTTTTCTGAACTGGTCCCAGTGACGTAGCCGAAAATTTGTTGCTGGGGGTTTAAATTTGTTGACAAATGTAGGCGATTTTTTATTTTTTTGCTTATCACACAATTTTTAACAAATTTTGCTGCTAAAAATAGTTGGTGTTCGGAAAATTCTTCGCAGGTAAAATTCTTTGCAAGAAAACTCTTTGTAATGGATTTTCAGTTTTGTGCTCTATAATAAGGCTGTTGTTTTATCGATTTAATTAAATGAACAAATTCTTTTAAGTTTATTGCTTCAGAAAATAAAACAGTACGCAATGCAAAATTTTAATTATTTGAAACAAAAATATTAATATGATAATGTACAAAAAGTTTAGAAATAAAATTATGAGCCAATTCTCGTAAATAATCCATTATGTTTTGATTCGCATAATTTTCCACAATTTTTAGAATGTATATGGCAGTATCACGACAGCACTTTTGTTTGCTAGACGGTCTCCACCGGCGAGATATTGTTCAAACTTTTCAAAAACATCATCCTGGTGTACAAAAGCAAGGGCCGAGAGCATCCGCATCTTTAGAGCCAATTCAGCATTTGTTTCATAACGTCGTTGAAAACCATTAGCTTGAATGTTACGGCAAATACAGTGGCTGAAGTGGAAAAAAAAGCCTTTTCGTTTCGTAGCTGGAAACGTGTCACCAAAAGCATTAATAGCTGACAGTTCAAAGTCGAAGCTGGAACCGAATTGGGCTGTAAGCAAAAAAGTTGATTGAGAAAACGACGATAAATTTTTTCCGTTTTTATTGTAATAGTGCAAAAACCGCAGGGATGACACGGTCGCCATCAATACCATGAATTGTGTGTAGTTGGTTGAACAATAGCGGCACTGATTTGAAAATTCTATCAGCGTACTAATTTGTCAAATTGGTGAGAAGTTGAAAATTTGTTTGATTGGAAAAAATGAGAATTCGATTTGGACCATCGTCGCTATCGTGCAAAAGAAATTGATCGCCAACGTGTGTAGTTTTGTAATCGGCAAGAATATTTAGTTCTTCCAGTAAAGTTGGATTTTCTGGAGAAAGGTTCACTCTCCGTCTAGCGTCGCGAACCGTTATTTTTAACGTGATAATTGAAGGCAATTGATCAACGACAGGTTGAGATAAACCAACAAATGTATCCTTAATTATCTGATGAGTGGCATTCTGCATTGTTTTTGGCTCACCTTTGATCACATTGACAACCCTCGCTGCTTGTATTCTTGCAACATTTGCAACATGACTCACCTAACCGTTTTAAAATTTTAATATCGTCTGAATGTGCTCGGGCTCGAAATGGGTACGTTGAAATTCGCTGCATTTCCATACAATTTTTTGATCTGTAGCTCTATCCTTGAAGTATGTGTGACCATTGTCCACTAACTTTCTTTTTCCTTTTTTGCTTATCACAGAAAAGTATTAAAACTAAAATTTATTAAAAATACAGTAACATTTTTGAAATGTCAGTTAAAATGAACATAATATTAACCAATAAATTTTTAATCTTCTAGCGATAAAATTTTGGCAAATAATTTTTTTAAAATACAGCAATTGTTAATCTCGCAAAAGTTTTTAATTGTGAATGAAAATGGTGACCAGACAAAGACCCCGAACAAACCTGTGTTCAATAAACTCCCGAACAAAAAATCGCACACTAAAGAAGATACCGAAAAACTAACAACATATAAGCGCACATTAAAAAGAGAACCGAAACATTTTGGGGTTGTATTACACCAGTAATTTTGGTCTGCGAGAATTTTTGGCTATGAGGTATATAGTAAGAAAGTTTTTGTCATGGGAGTTTTTTGCTTGAGGTGTTTAAGCACAGGAGGATTTTGTTTGAAGAATATTTGTCCGGAATTTTTTCGGGAGGATTTTCGATCATGGGGTTTTTGTCAAGGGGGTTTTTGTTCGTGGGGTTTTTTCGAGGGGTTTTCGTCCGAGGGTATTTGCCCGGAAGTATTTTGCTCCGAAGGTTTATTTCCATGGGGTTTTTGTCTAGAAGGTATTTGTTCGGGGGTTTTTGTCCCAGAACCAATGAAAACATCCCAACCACGCAATACAACCTGAAAAAATGTTAATTATCTATCGATAAATTTTTCCTGGCGAAAAATGTTCTGGCGAAGAATTTTCCACGGAAAATTTTCTTGCGAAGAATTTTCCTTCAAAAAATTTTCGGCGAAGAATTTTTTGCGAAGAATTTTCTGGGAAGATTTTTCTCGCGAAGAATTTTCCGTAAATCTCAGTAGTTTTGTTCAAAATTTAACATAATTTTATTGTTACTAATTTACATAAAGATTTTGTTTAATTTAGCTTTTAATTTATGTATCCGACTGGTACGTGTTTATTTTATATGATAAAAAATAATATATTTGTAAAATGTATTGTGTATTTGGCTTTATTGTGTATTTAGAGATAATTTTTGCCATCATTTTTGAGTGGCTTTGATGCATGTTTGAGACAACTTAAACAAAATCTAAAAATACGTCGGACTTTTATATTGAGGTGAAAATGGAGATATAAATACATCTCTTAAAGGTAATAAAAGCCGTGGAGGCAATAAATGCCTTTGGGCGTTAATGCGATGACGAAAGCTTTAGGAGTTTTGGTTATTATAAAACATAATTCAAAAACATTCATAGAATGAACCTTTATGGATAATTTGAAAAAATTTATAAAATGATTCAAAAACTTTATCCAAAAGATTTAAATTAAATCAACCCTTATTATCTCTAATGTTTAGACAGACATCTCAATGTTCTGAGGCAGTTCAGTTTTATTAGAGCAACATCCAAATCAATGTGATTTTTCTGAGTAGTTCTGATATGAAAACTACACAATGAAGCTGCAATGAAGTCCTAATAAGTTTGAGCTAATCTTTTAATTTTAGAAGAAGAAAATATGCAATTATTACAAAAAATTTTGTCAATTTCGTCTAGCGACTGTTGCCATTGTAAATGAAACCATTACTTTTTTTTTGGTAAAAACCATAGACTCTACACGATTACATATCCTACCAGAACGTATTGAATCAACTGACATGATTGAAGTTAGAATGCTGTAAATTATTGATAAATTAATGATAGTTGGAAAAATCGTTAAAATGCTGAAAAATTAAATCAAGAATATGGTGTTGGAAATCATTAAACTGAGGCTAAACAAGACTAGACCATTTATTTGAACAGTTTCTAAAATGTACCATCCAAAGTGTTTGCGTAGGAAATAATAATTTTGTTATCCCTCCATCTGTTGAATTCATATAGTACGTCATCATTGTCATTTCACACTTTTTGTATGCTAGGACACCACTTTGAAGTGTTTTTTAAATTTTCTGTTTTTTTTTTTTAGTTGATGTTTTCGCTGATTTTTATTTATTTCTTATAAGAATTATTTATTTAAATTTGAAAACATTGTCTAAGACAACCAATAAAATTTAAAAACTTTAGTATAGAGTAACAATTGGTTTTACTGACAAAATGATTTAGGTTTTTACATGGTCAAAAGAAAACAACAAATTATCAACCTACAATGTACAGACAAAAGTTCATCAAATGCAACACCGGACAAATTTTTAATTTTAAAAAGTTATTCTTCTAATGTGCTTTGCATTCGCATTTGTTTCAAATGCAGCTTTTGCAGATTTTTATTATTATAAGAAAAAAGGTTTGGGCAAAGCCCCTTGCCCAAAACTAAAATAACATAACAAAAATAAATCAGAACGAATTCCAATAAAAATTAAAGAGTCAATGTTTAAGACAATTATCAATGTTTGAAAAAATTGCAAATTCTGAAAATTGATTATTACAGGTACGTAACGTACATTGGCAAATAATTTATAATAAACATCAGGCACAAGACAAACTGAAATTAAAATATAGAATATTTTGCGTCACCATAAAATAAGTCTAGTTTAGTTTTAAAAATAGCCAATGACGGAGCATTAACAATATTTTCTGGCAATGCATTCCATAGGCTAACAACTCGATTCGAGAAAAAATATTTCCTGCAATCTTTTCTGGCCATCCGAGTACACAATCTGAGCTGATGACCCCTGGTATTGACATCAGCCCTACCGCACAACTGAAGGCAAATCGCAGGGTCCACCATGCCGTGAAGCATTCTATAGACCAGGATTAAATCTTCTCTGATTCTGCGGTAATTAAGGGAAGGGTATTTTTGTGACCGACAGTTATGAACCAACCACTGAGGCGAGCTGTTGAACATGAACATATGAACATGTTGAACATATATATATATATATATATATATATATATATATATATATATATATATATATATATGTTGGTAATAGATATACTATATCTATATATATACTTTATATCATGATATTGATATTTTTTATTCGGGTAATTTGATTGCTAACACATTAACACATTTAGTAATTATTTTATCAATTCCGGAGTTGTATCGGCTTTAGAAATCAATAATCGTAATTTTCTTAGCTCTATGCCACCTTCTACATGTTCGTCCATCTTTTTCTGTAAAACCATTGAGCTTGAAGTGTTAAAAATTGTTTCTAAATTAAAAAATTCACATTCGTCAGACCACGATGGTATTTCTAACTACATCATTCAAAACATAATTGATTCAGTTGTAAAGCCACTAACATATTGCATTAATTTATCTTTTATCACAGGAATTTTGCCTAACTGTCTTAAAATTACAAAGGTTATTCTTGTTCACAAAAAATGTTTTTCAGATTTGATATCCAACTATCGTCCTATATCATTGGTGTCGTCTTTGTTGAAAATCATCTTCTTGCCAGTTCGGTTTCAGAAAGGAGAATTCAACCGAACTTGCTATTTTAGACTTAACACTTTATGTTTGTAGTAACATATATTTAAATCGACACACCATTGGTATGCTTATTGATATAAAAAAGCATTTGACATTGTCGATCATGAGTTGTTAACGAAAATGTCACATTATAGGATTAGAGGACTTTGTTAAAATGGTGTCAAAGTTACCTTGCAAATCGATCTCAATATGTTGTAATATGTAAACATCATTCTTTCTTGTTGCCTATTGTTTCTGGAGTGCTTCAGGGTTCTACACTTAGCCCTGTTTTTTAATATATTTATCAATAATCTATGCAGATCGACTAAGGCTGTTAAGTATATGTATGTATGTATGTTATGTTTGCGGATGACACTACCATTTTGGCGGCTGGCGATTCCATAGGTGAAGTTGAATGTATTCTTAACTCAGAGCTCGCAAGCGTTCACTTGTGGATGATAAATAATAAACTGCAAATTAATTTATCAAAAACTTATGCGATTCTTTTTGGTCCTAAAATTGTCACCAATTTACTAACATTCTCTGTTTTCTACAATAACAATTCGGTGGGTCGATTAGACAAAATAGTCTTTCTAGGTGATACAATCTCAAGCAACCTAAGTTGGAAAGAGCACACAATTAGCATGTGTAAAAATCTAGGTATAATCTATAGACTAAAATATATCTTACCGAAATGTGTGTTACTTAATTTATACTACTCTCTTATTTATCCTTATTTCACTTATTTTATTGTAGTTTTGGATCGTTACATTAAGTCTCATATTTTTATTTCAGATGAATGTTTATACTTCTTTATTCGTATTTATTATGACCTGAAAAAATATGATCATGTTTCAGTTTATTTATCGTTGTCTAATTTGTTGTTTATTCCTATACTGTACGTTTTCAGATTGTTATATTCTTGTTTAATGTTATAGTTAAGAAGAAATTTGCTATATTTAGTTCATATTTACTTAAATCTTTTGAATATTGCAAAAGAACAACTCGGCACACTCCATTATACAATAGTATTGTCCCTCGTACTGCTTTATTTTATTCTTCAGTTTTTGTCTTTAGTTTAAAACTGTGGTCAAAATTACCGTGTTTAGTTTTACAAGTATCTAACTATGGGCTATTTAAAAAATCGATTTTTGACTTAATTAAGAACAACTTTTTTTTACAGGATATGATTTAATTATTTCAATTATTTAAGTTATTTTATAAGGAAAAACTTTTGATATGAATTCAATTGTTTTGTTTAACTTGATAAATTTTGATGATCATTTTTGTTAAGTAATTTCTGCTCATTTTTGGTTAAATTGAACTTGTTTTCATTGGCTAGCTATACCATTTTATTTTCATTTATGTTGTTATTTTCATGTTATTTTCATGTTTGTTGTTATTTTTATTTGGTTTGGGTTGGGTGGCCGTACAAGCTCGTTTGAGCTTCTTTGTCTCCGTGCTTTTTGCTGAATAAATTGAATTGAATTGAATATATATATTAATGATATAAATATATATATATTATATATATATATAATTATAAAAATATATATTAATTTGTATATTTAAATGTAAATATATATGTATATATCTATATTTATATATATATGTGTGTGTGTGTGTGTGTGTGTGTGTGTGCGTGTGTGTGTAAGCATACTGTATGTGCCTGGCGAGTTAATTGATGTTAGTCTACATATTTATTTACATTTGTATCATATGCGTACGTTTTAACAAATAATCAAATCAATCAGAGACCCAAACGGTGATTTAAAATTTACATAAAACAATTCAAGGTTTAGCAGTGCTAAAGTTTGTGAAAAAGCATCTGGTTTCACCAACATTAATTCGAGTGATAAGAGTTTTTAGGGTTGGAAGAATATTACGACTCGTGAAATCTGCTAAAGGAATTAGAACTCTTCTGTTTTCGTTAGCTGTTTCATTGCCAGCTTTGTTTAATATAGGACTCCTCCTATTTCTCATTATGTTTATCTATGCAGTGTTTGGCATGTCGTTTTTCATGAACGTTGAACACAAATACGGCATCGACGATATTTTCAATTTTGAAACTGTTTATCATGGGCTGTTAATTCTCTTTCAAATTGCTACTTCAGCGGGTTGGAATGGCGTTTTAGAAGCTCTTATGAACGAATCTACTAACTGCACTGGGTAAGCTGCTTCACTTCGCAATTTTGGTTCACATTTTAAATATCGTTTTATTACTTTTTTATGCAAGAGATGCAAATGCAAATAGTTATGACGGTAGCAAGTTAGCTATTCCTTATTTGGTGACATACCTCATAATCAGCTTCCTTGTCATTATCAACATGTACATTGCTGTTATCCTCGAGAATTTTTCTCAGGCAACAGAAGACGTTCAACGCGGTTTAACCCAGGATGATATTGATATGTACTATGAAACGTGGGAAAAATTCGATGAACACGCTACGGGCTACATTAAATTTGATAAACTGTCAGAATTTTTAGATGCTTTGGAAGAACCGCTTGGGATACCTGTTCCCAATTATTTTGTTATAATTCATTTAGATATTCCAATTTGTGACAACGATCTTGTTCATTGCGTTGATATTTTGGATGCTCTAACAAAATACTATTTAGGAACTTCAAAAGTTTGTCGACAATCAAAATTCTTTTATAATTTTATGCTCAATAAATTAGTTTTGCTTCATATGTATTTTAATTTATATTAGAAATTTAATATTTTTAAAGGATGCAGCTCGAGAATTGGGTGACGTTAAAAAAGGTTCTGGCAAAAAAAATTATTCAACTTCTACGACTACTCTACAACGACAAAGAGAAATATTTTGCGCCAAAGTTATTCAAGTTGTTTGGCGAAAGCATGTTGAACAAAGAAGAATGCAAAGAAAACAGACAGAAAATTTGAAAAGATCTTCAGATGGAATGATTGATAAACAAATAAATACAGCAAACAATCAAAGCAATTCCATTGAATGCGCTGATTTTTATCTTGACAGTGGTAATAATAAAACAAGCGAAAAAGCAGAAGCGATGCTATTGATGAATCCTAATTATTTAAACATTTAGCATAACAATTTCTTGCATAGATTTTGTTATAAACAATTTAATTGTTAACATTACTTTGTTTTATTGTCAAAGATATTGAAATATTATAAATACTGCATATCGGCAATTTAAAATGAGGTTTTTCAGCATGAAATCAAAAACATATACAGTGGTAAACAGGGCCAGAAATATATACAGAGGCCGATAGCTGTCAAATAAAAGTTCAAAGAACTGCTAGTGGATAAAGCAAAAAGCACATCATGCAAAAATGGTCCTAACTGAGCGTCATAGTAATAACTAACATCAAATGCATTATTAAAGTTTTTCAAATTGGAGCTTTTATTTTGACCTATAAAAGCTGCATACAAAACCTTCCAAAGAGTAAACATAAAAGAAATTCTCCTTCTCCGGTCATCGACTTTTTTGTTGAAAACTCGCCCCGGTCATCAACTTTTTAACTTTACTGTTGACTTGGAAGTAAAAGTTTAACAAGTCTCCCTTTTAAGCAGTTGTGTTTGTTTATCAGAAATCAGTGAACAAACCTGTTGTAGAACGTATGACTTATCGATAGTGCAAGTTACATCTCTATATTATGAATGAAACGGATCCAAAATATCGAGATTTGTGGTATCTGGATCCAGATCTTCGTAATAGATTCGTACGGATTCAGATCCAATGTGCATGTGTGCCCATAAACAAATTTTTCAAACCAAGTTTTTCCCAAACTTAGAACACTGAGAACAATCATCAATTTGGCGTTTAATGTTTAAACCCAGCCCATTTTATCATTTAGTTAAAAAATAAAGATGCATTATTCGGCCAACAGTTTAAAAAATGTTAACACGTGATTCAAAAAGTTTATAAAAATTTTCTTCTCAATCCATAGTTGAAAATATTTTTTAAATTCAACTTTATTGACAATCAATCAAGGATCCGGCTTTCGGCATTTTATAAAAAACTAAAACGACTTTCCATGCAACGTTTAGTAGCGGCAACGTTTATGCTAGTAACTTGAAAAGGTAAAAATACTTCAGATGAGAAAATGTTATAGCTTCATAAGGTCTATTTTATTAAGATATGTTTATGGCGATAGTGTTTGGCACCCTAAAAAAATCTTTTATAACATAAAAAAATCTTTTATGTTAGAATTGTTAACTCAGAAACCAATGTAAACATCGCATGAAATTGTTAATATTTTAAATTTCTATATATTTTCGAGTTACCAGGTCGAAATCGAAAATATTGTAACAACAGAGCACTGCATCGGCTTATTTTGCTAACTAAATTTTGAACAAAATCTAGAAAATTATATGTTTGTCCAATATAAAAGAGAGTATCGAAAGCACGTAGATAAGCAGTGTCATTTTCTTATACATCATGAGTGCAAACCATCTTTTAAAAGTGATATTTACTCTGATTAGAGTAACATTCTCGATGAATGCTGAAGCAGTCGATGTCAACATTGTTTCAACCTTCCTTTAAACATTCAGCAAAAGATTTAGCGATATGGCTCTAAAAACACAAAAATTGGTGGAAAAATACATATACGTTTTTACAATGTCACAAATTATTGTTTAATGAATGAATGTCAATTTGAAATGGCATTAAATAAAAAACATAAATTTATCTATATCAAAATAAAGGTTGAAGATCAATCTCTCTTGTGTACTCGCTTCAGAGGCATCAACGACAAACACACACAGCGCATACGAATACGCATACACACATTACACATATAGGCGGAGATCTTTTTCAATTCGAATCTGGCCAATGCAAGAGCAGGACAGGGGCTCTTAACCATTACGTTATCACGCCGCCAAACTAAACTAATTAAAATTTGATAAATAAATAAAATAATTGAATTAAATATTTAATTAGTATATTATTTTTAATGACAGAACACGTTGTTTGCACTAAATTTTAACTTTGGTAGAAAAAAAAATGGGATGGATGTTTCAAACATAATTTAGTTTTTCTTAACTTTTTTTACAAAAGCTGAACTTTCCAAATTATTGTACTTTTGTGAAGTAAGCATGTAAACTAGCAGACAGATTGGAATTATGACAAAACATAGATAACATCCAGCCAGCTGGTAACGTTCTTCGAGAGTTTCAGGTACAACCTTCGTCTTATAATTTGAGAAATCATCATTCAGTATCACGTAGACCATCTGCAATGTCATTGTGATGACTTGAACCGACCAAATGATTGACGGAATTTTAATCCAATGGCGTCCACCTTAAAATAAATTTATTTAAAATATTTTTTTTAATGAATTCGGACAAAATAACCTTTGGCAAAAGCATACATAGCTGCCAAGAAAAACGGCAAATGCAAAAACACTTCAAGGTACACAAAGACTTTGAACCATGCTGGATTTGTGCCAACGTAAGGATCTTTCAAGAGTTCAACAAACCAACTCGTGCAGTTTTTCAGCTGTTGTGTAAAAATTTCAAAATATCAATAAACCCAATTTACAAATTTATGAGAGCGTCATATCTACGCACATCCAACAAAGCAACAAATATAAGTATGAAAAATTGTACTGAATATTAAACAAAATATATATAACTGTTTAAAGTATTCATCAATGCTAATCATTCACATTGGAAGACACGAAGATAAAAATGACAGAAGAAATTGTTCATGTTTTTGTTCCGGTCATACTATATTGAACACGACGAATTAATTAAACATTTTAATATATATATATATATATATATATATATATATATATATATATTTATATATATATATATATGTTGGTAATAGACCATAATTTTTACAATATTCTATAAATTCTACCTAATGTTTGGCGTTAATTTGTTTGTAGTTCGTTTTTTCAATTTTTCTCACTAAAGTTTTTTGGTGAACGTTTAATTTATTAAAATTCAAAATAAACCAACTTTCCGAATTCATGCTGCAATAT